TTCAATTCAAAGTTTTTCTTTTTTTTTTTTTCTTTTCTTCTTATTCATCTTCTTCTAATATTATTTCTCATTGATTTTTATTTTTTTTATATTTCATTTTCCCTCCAAAAACTTGGGATTTTGAATAATTTTTCAAAATATTTTCATACTCAAAAATTGAAACAACAACAACAAAAATAAATAAATAAATAAATAAATAAATAAATAAGGAGTAAATTCAAGAAGAGATGGATGACTATAATAGTGTCTAAGCATATTCTCAGACCAGTGAAGAGTAACATAGATGGCGCATAACTGATTGATTAATTAATAATCCTATGACCTATATAACCTCTTTTGGTTGATAATAATCTGTCTTAAAGCTACATATTACGTACTTTAAAAATTTTTTTACAATGATAATAAAAATTATAAAAAAAAATCTCATATATTTGAAGACAATTTCACCACGATACATCCTTTCCCTTGGGTTTTTTATTTTATTTTATTATATTTCACTGCAACTATTACTACCTTCCTGAATTAGACATGGTTACATTATTAGTTTGGATCGTTTAATTTGATAATAAGGAAAAGGTTTTTCCACTTTACAAACTGTTACTAAATATTTTGAAAAAAAAAAAAAAAAAAAAAAAAAAAAGATTTGGTCTTTCTTAGTCTAATCGAATAGTAACACCTTTATTCATTCTAATAATCACTCGTTTAAATTAAATATATATCTTTTTCCTTATTCAACATATGTACACAAACACCCATTCAGTTTTTTTATTTTTTTTATTTTTTTTTTATTTTTTTTATTTTTTTTATTGTATTTTCATACCTCTATACCCTGTTTTTAGAGATATGGGACTAGGTTGCCCATGATATTGAATTTTGCTGCCACATAACTAAATTTCAGATTAACATTACAATGTGTGTGGAGAAAGCAAAAAATAAAAAAAATAAAAAATAAAAAAAGGTAAATAAGAGTTAAACAAAAAAAAAAAAGGTGAATAAAAAGTTCAGATAAAAAAAAAAAAAAAAAAAGAATTAATACCATTTCATGGCACATTTTCGTGAACGACATTATGTATGGGACATAAATAAAACATAAATAAAACTGTTAAGTGTCAATGTGGAACGCCCTCAAACTTATTTTTTTTCTGAGATTTGTATAGAATTTTTATCAATATTGATGTTATTAGTCCTATTGATTTATTTATTTTTTTGTTTTTAAAAAAAAAAAAAAAAAATTTTTTTTCTGTCGTTTCTTCTTTCTTAATTGAGTATCAGAAATAGGAAGAGGAAGATGATGAAAAAAAAAAAATTTCAATTGATTTTTCATAAGCAAACTCTAGAAACAAACAAACAAAAAGAAATAGTTAGTAATAATTGTAATAAAATTAATAGTAGTTTTCAGTTGTGCGTCCAATATGGGAACCAATTCATGTTCTAAAAAGATAATAATATTTATTATTTTGTTTTTATTTTATTTTATTTTATTTCCTTCTTCTTCTTTTTCTTCTTTTTCTTCAATCTACTCAGTTACATTCACTGCTCCAAAATCTTGTTACTGATGGTGGGAACTGTTGTGCAAAAAATTATACCTTTGGGTAGGCATATTCCCCTCAATCTTTTAAGAATTAATTAAAATAACATTATGTCAGTTTATTTGCTCAAAATATTTAGGTATATTAATGTATATAAAGTTCTTTTTTTTTCCCCCATTTCAAATCTTGTTATTGTTGCTGTTGCTAGTTCTTTTCTAAGCTAGTCATTGATCTCTAAGAAAAAGTTGTCTGTTCTGATAGAATCAAGTATCCATCTCATCATCATTTCCTCTACGTTATAATTAATTTTTTTTTTTTTGTAGCAATATTCCGGTGCTTTTTTAAGCTAAAAAAAATACAACTATGAAAAATAATAATTATAATAATAATTATAATGAAAATAATAATATAAATATTACACGCCATTCTCTCATCAACTGCCGTATTTTTCAATGTAATGTCTTCCCGCTTAACTAACTACTTTTGTAAACTTTTATCCATCACAAATGTTTCTGTTATGTTCCTTTTATATGACGAAGATTTTTTTTTTCTCGTTTTTTTTTTTTTTTTTTTGGTATTTTGGCGTCTTGTTTCTCATTTCACCAGCCTCGTGTCATATATCAAGTATCTTGTAAAGTACCCAATGACCAACCAACCAACCAACCAACACAAATTACTAGAATAAATTACTAAAGATACTATGTTCTGTTTATTTTTCTTTCCGCAAGCTTACCAGAGAGGGAAAAAAAAAAAATTTTTTTTTGATGGATTAATTTTACTGCCATAACCATTTATTTTGCCTTTAAATTCCCTTTTGAGGGCGTCCCTTTTTTTTTTTTGGTTCAATATTTAACTGCACCATATATATATATATATATGTCCTTCTATATTTCAATATCGGGTTTCAAAAAAAAACAAAACAAAATCACTAATCTTTTTAGGCGTTTCAAATGCTCGTTACTTATTTTTTTAATATTTAAACTATTAATTAGTATTTACTTCAGCTGCTGCTGCTGCTGCTGCAGGGGATCTCTAGTTCTTTTAGTTAATTGCGGGTTTTGTTTCAACTTAAGCCCATAATCATCTTTTCATAAAATAGGTTAGTTTTCTTACACTTTGAAGAAAAACCATACTAGTTTGTAACTTTTCTTCTTAAAAAAAATTATTCACTATTTTTTTTTTTTTATTTGAAAATGATAACCACACTTACGAGTATTTTTCTTAAAAAAAAATGATCTTCTCAGTGCATTACTTTCGTATAATTAAAATAGTAATATAGTTCTAGTACGTAAGCATCCATCTTCATTTTAATATCATGTTAATCTACATGCCTTGACTAATGATATTGTAACAAAAATGATCTGCACTGCACAGAAGAAAAATTTGTATTATTTTTTTTTAATTTATTTTCCTATTTCTTATTCTTTTCAATTTATCAAGTTCTTTTCAATTTAGTTTGATTCATCTTTTTTTTCTTTTTTATTTTTTTTTCCTCTCATAGTACTTTAATTTTGTGAGACTACTAATCTCTATTCAAACTGTTTATTAGAACCCACTTTTAAGTTAAAGCTTCCTTTAGAATGCAAGGGCATAAAAATTAACTTTGATAGTTTCTCAGAACCTCATCAACTATCTAAACTAGAAAAAAAAAAAAAAAAAAAAAGTCATTCTGACGGAGAGAGAGAGAGAGAATTCTATTTGAAGAGTTACTAGAATAGTATATCTAATCCGAAAACCTTGTTAAATAAATGGCATGTTATTTTTTTTTATTTTAGTCTGCCTCAGTCTAAGTTTATTCATAGTATGCCTCTCAAACATTCTAAATATTTGAATTCCGCATTTCTTTTCCCCTTTCTTTTTTCCTACTTTTTTCTTTTTTTTTTTTTTTTTGTCTTTTACATTTCTTTTTTGTTTTTTGTTTTTTGAGTTCGTTTGTCAATCATTCTGTCGGCAATATATCGCAAAACAGAAACCTTTTATTGGTAACATGAGACTCTTATTAGTATGCTTATACTGACTTTTTTTTTACTTATTTATTTTATTTTTTTGGCAGATATACAGTCATACATGCACAGCTTTGTAGTTTTTAAACTTGTCTTACAGATTAATATATGCAGAAAAAAATATGGCTGATATGACGCTCGTTTGGAATTTAGACAGCTTAAGCGTGGATACCCAGAACTTAATCTTGGTCTCAATGAACTTAATGGTCACAAAGACAACAACAACGAAGACGACAACGATGTTTTTTTTTTTTGTTTGCAGATTCAAAGACTGTAAATGAATAGACTGAAGTTATAGATATAAGTAGAGGTTATAGAAGAAGATAACGATTTTTTTTTGACCAGAATAGATATAATGATATAAAATGAGGGAATAAATAAAAGGAAATGATAAAATATCCAATATGACCTGTCAGTGTCACGGTAACTATTAGTGGCAACTGTTTTTTGAAAAAATTATCGACAGGTTATTAATAGGATCAAAAGCAAAATCAATAAACAGGACCTAGACGTACTTTCAAATAAAATGAATAGAGATTAGTTGGATAGTTGGATAGTTGGATAGTTGGATAATGTTAATTGTTTATTATATGAATAGCAAGACACATAGCATACGGAATAAATATATTCCCTCTCCATAAACAAAGCTCCACTATATTTTTAAAGTGTATATCAAAACCCGAATCTCACAGTGCACTATGAGATTAGAATACCGGTTCCCGTGAGAGACGATGACATAAGAACTCGAGTGAGTTGTTGCTCTATGTGCAAGGCAGCGGGTCACAACTATAACATGAAATTATATTGAATTACGTACCTATGGTTGAGGCAAATTGCTTTATTTTTTTTAAACAATTTTCTGTTTTGTTCCAGACATTTATTTTTGTTTTTTTTTTTTTTTTGGAGGGGGGAGTATGTTTCTAATTTTTGAAGATTGTTATGACGACGGCTCTGACTAGAGTCTTAAAAAAATTTACAAGTGGAGATTTGAAATTTGAGGGTATATATATATATATATATAAAGAAAGGAAGGAACAAAATATCTGATTCTTGGTGATAATTTAAATCTAGAAATTTTCCAAAGTTAAAAACTGAAATAATATTAATTTGGTTTGAAATTTCGATTCTTGTTGTATTCAATTAATCATTATGGAATGTCAAATGGGTCCTGTCAGGGTCGTGATCGCATTGGGGGAAAAAAAAAAAAAAAAAGAAAAAAAAAAAAACCGGGCGTAGTTACAAACTTTTGTTACAATGCGATGGAATTAATTTTCCCAGCAAAATCAAATGTTTCCACACATTTTGGTAAATAAATAAATAAATAAATACCAGAGACAGGGTAATTTTTAGTGATAATATTTTTTTAAAACTTCTAAAGGTCAATATCAATATCTATCATAATGAATTTCCCTAAGATAATTCCGATAATGTTTTTTTTTTTTCATTTTAATATATTTAAATAATTGTTTATCAAAGATTAAATATATTGGCTAAGCCATTCAAATCCTTCAATGTATCCTTGGCGCTTCAAAACTGATGACATGTAAAGCTCCACTGGGAAACACCCCTGGTCAAGTTTTACAAGACCTTTGCCTGTTGTAACTTGGTCCAATCCAAGTGCATATTTAAGTTCATCTTCTGAGGCTGCATGTAGATCATCTATTTTATTTCCTAGAATTAGTAATGGACCATTGATGAGTCCAGGACTAGCGAAAAGTGCGTCAAGTTCTGTTTTGCATTCTGAGAAACGTTTTCGGTCCGTGGCATCCACTAAGAAAACAAGTCCGTTTACTTCTGGAATATAATCTTTCCATAACCTTCGTGCCTGAGAATAGCCGCTTAAATCAAATGTTGAGAATTGGATATTGTCGAAAGTTATTTCTTCTAAGGTTGGTTTGTAAGTGGGGCTGGGTGATTCAAATTGGTCATTCTAAAGAAAAATGAAAATGAAAAAAATAAAAATAAAAATAAAAATAAAAATAAAAATAAAAATTTTTTAATCTACAATGATTAAGAGAAAATATCTTTATAAGCTTACTTTTAACATGTATAAAAGGGTAGTTTTCCCTGAATTGTCAAGACCTAGAAATGCCAGTTTAGCCTTTTTGTTGTACAAGCCTAATGAATATAGGACATTAAAAACTAAGATAAGTTTGTTAGTAATTTGGTTTTTTTTTTTTTTTTTTTTTTTTTTGTTAATATTTAATAAATATTTTTACCATACCCCAATCAATAATCCATATCATTTTTTTTTTCAATTAATATGGAACAGTTCTTCTTGTTATAATTTTTATTAATTAAATGAAGGTTTTATGAGATTGTTCAAAACCACTGGTTTAATAAAAGAAAGACAAAAAAAATTATATATATGAATAAAACTGTTGAAGTATCCTGATGCACCTTTTTTCTGATGTTATGTAAAATTTAACATAAATGTAGTTTAAATCCGGATTAAATCTAAATTAACTTCACTATCTTGATGAACTTTTTTCTAATTTATATAAAGAATTTGTTTGTTTGTTTGTTTTTTTTACCTGGCGGTTGAGTCAGGCCTGTGCCTCCGCACATGATTTGCAGTGCAAAGTTTGGAGGGGTTGACCTCTCGGCAAACATTCCTTCTTTAATTCATTCATTCCAAAGATATTTATAAAAAATATATTTAAATCCAGTACTTTTCTACAAATTTTTTTTTAAATAGTTTAAATACCATTTTAAGACTCTTCATCAACTATTCTGAAAAAAAAATACGCGTAATTATATTAGTTTTATTCACTATCGTTTATTTAATTTTTTAAAAACTAATTCCTTTCGATCTTTTTTTTTTTTTGAAAATTCCCAAATATTAATTTTTTTTTCTTATGTCTAAGTGTACTCATTTGGTTCCATATTTCCCCAAATTTCCCACAAAAAAAATGTTCTTTTTCAATGACTAGATAGCAAATAAGCTATCATCACTTCACCCAATATCATATAGATATAATTTTTTTTTTAGTTGGTAGTAATGGCTGTTGTTTTTCTGCGTTTGGCGTCATGATGATGACCCTCCATACCTAATCCAACCGCAGCTGCGGCCGCCACTGCCGCAGACCCGCTGCCGCTACTACTGCCGCCCATTCCTCCCGTCGACGATGTGGGCGAAACAGATGTGTGTGTGCGCTCTTTCCGCTTCTTCTTCTTAAGCGAGATGCGCATGACTGTGGCGTCTTCGTTAGAAGACTCGGCCGCTGCTGCGGCTGCCGCTGCTGAAGACAGAGCGGGTGAAGAATTCGAATGCAACTTATTGCTAAAATGTAACGATGACGACGACGATGACCTCATCAAAGACCCACCCAGTGTGGATGATGAAGATGATAATGCCGGTGTTCCTCCGTTGGACTTACTGTGAATGTTTTGGTGGTGGCCGTGCGGTTGTTGATGTTGATGTTGTGGTTGTTGTTGTTGTTGTTGCTGCTGCTGCTGCTGCTGCTGCTGCTGTTGTTGTATGTTGTATCCATTTTGGGGTTGCACTCCAGAATTGCCATTTTCTGTAGGGAACCTGCTTACAGGCGGTATCGCCAACTTGGACACATCAAAGTCAGGTATCCCACTAACAGGGGTTTTTTCCAGACCTCCAAAGGCCCGCTTGAGGAGATCAGGCTCGTAGGGCTGGAGGTACTTGTACTTGTACTCCTCGCCGGGCGCAGTGCGTGCCGCCTCCTTGGACAAGACGGGGATGGGATTTTGGTACTGGCTCTGGGTTGAATAAACAATGGATAGTAGGGTGGGCGCCTCGTCTGCGCGGGACGTAGACACGCTGCCTGGTTGGTCGACACCTCGTGGAGGAATCTCGTGCTTGCCGGGCAGATCCATAATGTGGTTCTTATAGGACTTACGAAGCTTACGCTTTTCGCCCGTCACGGGGTCAAAGCGAGCGACCGAGGCGGCCAATGGGCTGAGCCCGTAAATGTCTAGCAGGTTGCTAGCGGCCGAAGGTTTAGATGGTTCATATACTATCAATCGGGTTAAAAATGAGTTCCATGGACCGTTTAAAAACCTTCCCTCATTAAACATAAACAACAATAAAGCTCTGGACACCAACAACAATTGCCATTGTGCAACAGGCTTGTTTCAGATTTACTTACCATTGTCACCCAAGAGATATACACCGAGGTTATCAGACATTGAAGATGGCATGTTTAGATATAAACACAAAGTTTTAAATTAAGGCTACGCTGAAAAAGATTTTAAACAGCGTGAATGATATAGTAATAATAAATGGCTCGATTTATATAACTAAAGAGCCCAAGTAATGGATTAATGCAAAAGGAGATCGATTTTTTTAGAGAAAAAAAATGAATGAAAAAAATAATGCGAATAAGAGTTTAATGGATAAAGAAAATGCCCCGTAATTTCTTCTGGTTGTCAAGTTTTTTTTTTTATTTTAAAAAAAAAGTTTTGAATTTTTTAATATTTTAATATTTTTTTGCTTGTTTTATTTTTTTTATATTGTATTTCTTTTATTTTTTTTTTTTTTCAAATCGGTTAAGATTGTTTGGTTGCAATCAACGAAATTCGAAAAAAAAATTTTATTGAAAAAAAAGGGTGAATAAACACAAACAAGTGTTGATATAAAAGTATGATTTTTTTTTTTTGAAGGTTGTGCTGGTGTTGCTAGATAAATTAATCTGTTTGAAAATATCGATTGCTGATATGGTATTTGGTATACAAGGCTTGACTTTGCTCAAACTTGAAATGAGGGGTATCCTAAGGTTGCTTATTACTTCAAGTATTAATAATAAAAAAAGGGTTTTCTTTTTTTTGATTTTTAATGAAGAAAATAAAAAAAGTTGAAAAAAAAAAGAGCCTCTAGATATCGAGGAAAAAAAAAAGATAGCGATAAATATATATAAAAAGTGGCTGTATTTTTTTTGATAAAATAAAAAAAATTGCGTGATATATTATGTTTTTTTTTCCTGTTGAATATATATAGAAGGTTTATTTTTCGTTTGAAGTGTGCGGGTTTGCCGGGTCCTCTAGAAAAAAAAAATTAAATAAAAACCTTTACAGAGAGTACAAAGACGAGAATGTCGGGGTAATGATTCTGTCTCAATCTACTGGGGAGTTTACGGGAGATGGATGGATGGTGAAAGTTGATGGTGATGATGATGATGATGGTGGCAAAAAAAAAAAATTTTTTTTTTTGGTGAAGAAGAGGATGGTAGAAGGAAGAGTTAAGACGAGGGGGTGTGGTGGGTTATTCTTGTATATATATATATATATGTATGTATATATATAGAAAAAAAAAAAAAAAAAAAAAAACTAAGGAAATTTTTACTGTGCGCGTGGCAATGGGTGGGTTAAAAGAATTGCCACAAAAATAAAAAATAAAAAATAAAAACGCGACGTGTCAAATATTTGAATACGCGTTTCTTTGTTAAATTAAAACAAAAATATATCTATTAATAATTAACGTGTAGCAGCTTAAAATATAAAATAAACAAAAATACCCTCCCTCACTCTCACGACTGTTTAAAAAAAAAAAAAAGGTGTTTTATTTATTTAAATAAAAAGTTCAGTTTATTTTAACAAATTATTTAGATTTAAAGCTTTGATATAAATCAATAGAGCTTAGAGATCAAGCTAAAGTCAAAAAAAAAAAAAAAAAAAAAAAAAACATCAAGATGAGATGAGATGTGTGTGTTTTTTTTTTTTAAAGAATAGACTTTTTTTTTATATATATATTTTCCTGTTTCGAAACGAACGATATCCGAGAAATAAATAAATAAACAAAAAAAGACGCGTATGATGTAGTAAAACAAGTTACAGGAGAAACAGATTTTCTTTTACACGAAACAAAAAGAGATCGGTAGTTATTTTTTTATTAAAAAGGTTTTTTTTTTTAAAAAAAAAATTACCAAACTCTCTTTTAAAATAAAAAAAATTGTTTAAAAATGGATAAATAATATAAGAATACAAGAATATGAAAAAAAAAAAACCTCTTCTCAGTGATTTTCAAATATAATAACAGAAAGTAGAAAATCTGTAGGATTTAATGTGTGTGTTTGATTTTATGTTATCATACATCACTGTCAAAATTGATGGGAATGTGGTTTTGTTGAGAGTCTTTCAAAATAAAAAAATAAAAAAGATTTTTTGGTAATACACACAACCACAGAAATAAAAAAAATAAAAAAAAAAAAATATATATATATATTAGGGTTGAGCCCTAGCTTTTGCTTTTAGTATTGTTACCTAATCATGACAAATAAAAGTGCTTGTATTAGAGTCACGTTATTTATTGTTACACTATTACACTTTGTTACAATATCTTGTGAGCTCTCTTAAATCCCCCCCCCCTCACAACAATAACAATAACAACAAAAATCTATTGTAGGTGAAGTAAACAAAAAAAAAGGGCAAAAAAAATTTTCTGAGCCTCACAAAACCTATCAATATATTTCCTAAAACAGTAATACCCTAACCCGCTCACACACTCTGAAATTTTTTTTTTTTTCTTTGCAAACTCCACGCACACACACACACACGCCCACTCACTCCCTTTTCCCCTTTCCCTCCTTTTTTTTTCTTCCCTCTTGACTCAGCGTCGTACTATAGTCATAATAGACCCTTCGACTCGAACTCGTCACACATACAGCAAAGGTTAGTTCGATCAATATATATATTGAAATTTCAAGAAGATGATGGAGATAATGATGATAAAAACACCTTTTTTCTTATGTTAATCGATTTGTTGAGAAGTTTTGATACCTTTTTTTTGATATTTTGTTTTCCCGGAAAGAGAATGAGATTGATTTTAAATTAAATTAAAAAAAAAAAAAGCGCAATACAGGCCATTAATGTGAACCAAAGAAAAAGTTTTTTTTTTTTACTTCATCTTTCTTTCAATTTGAAAATCTTCCATATCAACATCTTGCTTAAATTATGAGGAATAATAATAAAACTAACTCCTTTGTAATAGATGGCTCTGGCTCCTCACCCAAAGATTGTCAAGAAGCACGGCAACAAGAAGTTTAAGCGTCACCACTCTGACCGCTACGCCCGTGTTGGCGAGTCGTGGCGCAAGCCCAAGGGTATTGACTCTGCCGTCCGTCGTCGTTTCCGTGGCACTGTCCGCATGCCCAAGATTGGTTACGGCTCTGACAAGAGAACCAAGTACCTTGCTCCCTCTGGCCTCAAGTCGGTTGTTGTTTCTAACGCTGCCGAGCTCGACACTCTTATTCTCTCCAACAAGTACTTTGCTGCTGAGATTGCACACTCCGTCTCGTCGAGAAAGCGCGCTGAGATTGTGGAGAAGGCTAAGACTCTTTCTATCCACGTCACCAATGCCTCTGCTCGTCTCTCTTCCCAGGCTTAAGTAGTTTTGGCTTTTAAAAAGAAAATATTGGATAATGAAGAAAATCTTTTAATGCGTGTAGAGTTATGATGAACAAAAAAAAAACTAAAAAGAAGCAAAAATTCTTAACTGTAAATTTGCCGTTGCAAGAATGAAAAAAAATTTTAATTATTGTTAACTTGAAATTTTCAAATGTTAATGTTAATTTAAATTTTATTATTACCAAACAAAAATTAAAATTAATAACCGGTTTATTTAAAAATACAAAAAAATTAAAATTAATAACCGGTTTATTTAAAAATACAAAAAAATTAATATATATGGGATAGTTAAACTAAATGATTTTTTTTTTTTTTTCATTTTTTAAGGTTCCAAAAGATCCGAAACAGATGGCGCTCTGCGCATCATGGAAGGAAACGTAGTAGGCGTATTTGAAGAAGAGGAAGAAGAAGACAAGACGGGTGATGGTGGTGGTGGTAACCGGTCACTAGTTGTTGTGTGAAGATGATGATTATTGTGACTATTGTGACTATTTTGATTATTTTGATTATTGTGATTATTGTGATGAGAATAATGATGGCCTTGTGGATAAACACCTGTATTCCCGCGAAAGTACTCATGGGACGTGTGCGCCGGGTATGCAACACCACCATAATGAGCAAATCCCGTGTGGTGTTGTTGTGAAGGAGTGGCAGGCTGCGCGCCCTCAGAGCGCAACATAAAGGATAATGTCGGGAGTGCGTTTTTGTTTTGTGAATTCTGCTGAGGCTGAGGCTGATGCTGATGCTGATGCTGATGCTGATGCTGGTGCTGGTGCTGGTGCTGGTTCTGGTGCTGGTGCTGGTTCTGGTGCTGGTGCTGGTGTTGGTGCTGGTGCTGGTGCTGATGCTGAGGCTGAGGCTGGGGCTGATTTTGGTACTGGTACTGGTGTTGAGGAGGAACCGCAACAAAAGACCCAGAAGCTTGGTTTGAACCACAGTCAGGACCACACCCGAGAGAACCTCCATTCGTGGTGCCTGAAGAAAGCGATGGCTTCACAGAATTTGGAGGTACTTCAAGAGGGAAGTAGTAAGGAGCGTGTGATGCATTGCTAGCTGAAGCCCCATTTTTGGAAACATAATTCGCCTGCTGCTCTTGTTCCTGAGGCTTAAGTTGCTGCTTCCGCTCCTGCTCCTGCTCCTGCTCCTGCTCCTGCTCCTGTTCGGATCCCATGACAGGTGACTTGGATGACCTTTCGATAAACGCTTGACGAGGCTGCAGGTGAGCAGCCAAAGCACGCATGGCTCCACCCAAAGCCGCAGAGAGCCCAGAAAGTGCAAAGCTCGGGAACGAGTCTGCAGCAATGAGTGCTAGAGTGAGTGCCAAGCATCCTTGTGATTTTTCAAGCCCAGCATCAACAACCAGTGCCTCAATGGCATCGTACAATGCATCGTCCGCTTCATCATTCTCCGGGTCCGCAGCAGTACGTTTGCCTGGACTGTGGATGCCAGTAGTTTCGTTACCACCTCCGCAACATCCCCGTTCACGTTCGTACCGCGCAACCCACATCACAACCACCAATTCAAACTCGAAAAATGACCACAGCATGTCAGGCGCAATGGCAGCCAAAGGAGACGCTGCAAGCGCAGATCCCAAGGGCGCACCAGTAGTGCACAATACACGAAACACATCAAAGCACCGACGAGCCAGAGAACGCACCTCACGGCCCTGTAGCCGGCCCTCACTCAACATGCGGTCCAGATCTGTACGTGCGGCAGTCGCAATCCCGGCTGCAGATTCACCAGCCCTGGCCGCGTCACGAATTGCAGGGACATCTGCAGTGAGTCGCACGCGGTTCTGGAGCTGCAGAACGTAAGCAGTAACCACGAGCGGGTGTTGGCGCCGGTTGACCATGGTCAGAAAGGGTGATTTTCTAGGAACACTTCCATTGCTGCTTGAAGGCATTGCAGCCATGGAGGAGGATCCATTATTATTGTTCCCAGGTGTAGAGGCATAAGGCTGCATAAGAACATTACCCATAACATTACCCAGAGCAATGGGCAACGAATTGAGCAAGATTTGAGAAGCAAGCTGGCTTTGACCCGGGTGGGTATCAAACCCTCCATTTTCAAGCGACGATAAAGCAGTGAGTAGACGTTTACGTTCTGAAGCAAAGACCTTAGAGGCTGCAACGGAGAGCGAAGTAGAGGTAGCTGCGGACGACGACATGAGTTCGCAAGTATCGTTAATAAGAGCAGATGCTAGAACACGGACTCCAAAAGGAGCAACGTGAAGCTGGGCAAATGAGTCACCAGTGTGGCCGTGGTACAAAGCATCGAGTCCCTGGCCGACCGTGACACGTGCTGGAGGGAATCGTTCGCCAGCAGGGGCAGTGTTTACGTCGACAGCGTTCCAAAGGGGCTCTGAACATGGGAGTGCAAGGCTAAGAGGGAGCTCTGCGGTATTGATAGGAGCCGGGAGGTCCAAGACTGTAGTGAGACTTGCAAAAATGATAAAAGTAGCGAAAAAGGCTCGCGAAGCAAGTTCCGTGGCAAGAAACTCAGCCCAAGAGCCTGGGTTCATTGGTTGGTGTGTTTCAAGAGTAGAGCGTGCAAGCCGAGTCAAAATTGGGCGTACACGTGAAATGTACTCGAGTTCTGCATGGTCTGGGACCCCCCAGAGTGCATAGATGGTTGTAAGGATAAGGGTTTGGAGAGAGCACAAATCAGCTGCAGGGTCGTGGGGGGGTCTGTGGTTGTTGAGGGTTGGCAAGAGAGCGGCTCTGGCAGCACGTTGAAGAAGACCAGCCATTGTTGTTTCACGGGAAGCCAAAGCTCCAAGAGAAGCGACGGCAAATAATAGGCCCGGCGAAGCAGACCCAGTAGTATCAAAGGTGCGTGGGTGTAGGAACGGGATCTGTGGGTGGTAGTAGAGGAAAAAGACGGCTAGGTACCGGTTGAGCTGAAGGCGGGAAGGATGTCTGCTAACTCGTGTGCATAATGTGGGGTAGGGTGTTGTTGCCAAGGAAGCTGTTGCAGGGTCCGGGGAAGTTGGCAGAGAAGAGTGTTGTTGTTGATGTTGTTGTTGCGAGGACCCTGATTCAATGGCCGTGGCATTGAAAAAGTGTTTGAGGAGAGTTGTATGTGGGAAAGATGAATGGAATTGAGGGACGTAAACACCAGAGGGGTACGAGGCAGCAGAGGCAGCAGAAGCAGCAGCAGCAGCGGGATTAAGGTCTAAGCCTACGTTAGGTGAAGATGAGGAGGAGGAGGAAGATGGAGATGAAGAAGAACGCATTGAAGATGGCTCAGAACCTGTGCAGAGATGACGGGGGAAGTTGTCATGTTTGGAAGGGTCAAAAGATGACAATGAACACGTGCGATGATAGTTGCTATTGTTGTTGTGTTTGTTTTGATGGTGGAAATGGGGAGGAGAGGCCGGAACACGTTGGCGTTGAAGAAACGCGGGTTCCGGGAGTGCATAAGCTCCCGAAGTGTTGAGCTTGAGGCGTTTAGGTGTTTCGGGTTCTTGAAGATGCGAGTCAGACTGTTTTTGTTGTTGCGGCGGTGGAGACGGAGATGGACGGGTTTTACGTGCGGCGTCAGAGGCAGAAGTATGCCGGGAATTCGGGCCGAGCGGCGGTAGTTGTGTTGTGGGGGTGCCTGTGCCTGTACCTGTGCCAGATCCAGAGTCATTTGGTTGTCTACGGCGTTTTGTAAGAGAATGGTGAAGTTCTGTAATAAGCAAAGCAGCCGAGAGATCGTCGTTTGAGGTAACTTTTGAAGAAGAAGTAAGCGCGGTGGCCTGCACCGGGCGTGAGAAAGAACCAGAGGATTGTATTGATACAGAATGAGCGTGGGGGGAAGTGATGGGAGAAGAAGAAGAGGTTGCAGAAGCAGAAGCAGCAGCGGCTGCGGCATTCAAGAGGCTTGAGATGGAAGGAGACTGAGGTTTCCGCGGAGAAGAGGATGCCGAAGGATCCGTCTGTGGGAAAGAAGAGCCATTGAGAGGAGGTGTTGTTAAAGAAGAGGAAGAAGAAGAAGAAGAAGAAGAAGAAGAAACAGCAGCAGCAGCAGCCAAAAGTGCAACAGGTTGTTGCGGTGAAGGAGTTGCAGCGGTAGAGACTGCAGGCGAAGGAACAGCAGATGCAAGGAGCGGCTGGTTATTGTTGTTATTGCGTGGAGAGTGTCTAGGTGAAGAAGCTTTTGAGTGGGGTTGGGAAGGAACAGGAGGTGTTGAAGTTGAAATGAGGGTGGGGGGGAGAGGAGAGTTTGTTGGAGAAGGGGCTGGTGAAGGAAGTTTTGATTCAGGTTTGGGGAGGATTTGAGGGGATGAAGCAAGAGAATAAGCAGGTTGAAGTGGAGATGATGCAGACGATAGCTTGAAAGGTTTGGATGAAGAAGATACAGATTGTTTGATGGGGTTTGAAGATGAAGGAGAAGATGGTGATGGTGATGGTGATGTTTGTGTACTGACGGGTTTGACTGGACAATGTTGAGTGTTCTGAGCCGCACGCATAAGAGCCTCTCCTTGAGCTATTGCTGCTGCTGCTGATGCTGATGTTGTTAATACTGATTTCCCAGTGTGTCCAATATCCAACATAAGCTTCTTTTGTTCTTTAGAGTTATCGTCTTCATTTGTTGTAGTTGTGGTAATAGCAGCTGTTTTGTTTGCTTTAGCATGAACTGTTCGGTCATGGCGCAAAAGTAAATCTCTGCGGACAAAAGTAGATGGACACTTTTGGCAATGGAAGGGTCGCTCTTTAGTGTGGGAGCGTTCATGACGTGAGCGGTGTTCTGAGCGAGAAAATGCGCGGTCACAGTAGCAGCATCGGTAACGTTTAGCTTTTTTCTCTGGGGCTTTACTAGCGTTGGTGGTGGTGGTGGTGGTAGGATTAGTATTAGTAGCGGTAGTAGTTGATGATGATGTATTATTGCTATTTGAAGAGTTTGTAGTTGATGAAGAAGGAGCAAAAGATATTGAATCCGTTATTGTTGAAGAAGATGTTGTTGTGGATGGAGGTGGAACAATTTGTTGTTGTTGCTGCTGCTGCTGCTGCTGCTGCTGATCTTTTTTCTTGCGCTGACTTTGTTTTTTTGCTGGAGGGTTTGTTGTTGTTGTGGATGTTGTTGCAGAGGGCTGAACAACAATTGCGGGAGGCTGTTGAGGATTGTAGATTTGTTGCTCAGAAGGGGTTTGTTGTTGTTGTTGTTGAGATACGTGGATTAAAGGTGGGAGTGACGGTGGTGGCTGTGGAGGAGCCGAGGTGAGGATTCTATTCATGATTGAACAAGATTAGATATTTGATAAGATTTGAAAATTGACAAGATTTAAAAATTGACAAGATTTGAAAATTGACAATGTATTAAAAAAAAATTTTAATTATAATTATAAATAAATAAAAATAATGTGTGGAGAAATTTAAGCAAGAAAAAAAAAAAATTTAAAAGTTTAAAAATTTTTTAAAAGATATTTGAAGAAAGGATTCTCAATAAACAATACGGCGGGAGTCCCAGAGACTTTATAAGAAAAAAATAAAAAAAATAAAAAAAGACTTGTGACGACGATATTTAAAGAAGAAGAAGATAAAAAAAAAACCCACCCCAGGGCAAGGCTTTATTTTTGTATGAATTTCTTTCTACTATGATTCTAATACTACTACTACTACTAGGTAAAAAAAAAAAAAAAGTGGGATGTGGGCAATTGCAAACGGAGGGGCCAAAAAAAAAAAAAAAAAAAAAAAAAAAAAAAAAAAAAAAAAAAAAAGAAGGCATTTTGGGATATTTTGGAATATTTTGAGTAAAAAGTAAAAAAAGAAAAAAGAAAAGTGAAAAATAAAAATTAAAATTAAAAATTAAAAATTAAAAAAAAAGGACCCGGAATGGCTGAAGCGGCAGCAGCGGCGGGGGGAGCGGCGAGATTTTTTAATTTATTTTTTTATTTTTTTATTTATTTTAATTTATTTAATTTATTTAATTTATTTAATTTATTTAATTTATTTAATTTATTTAATTTATTTAATTTTTATTTAATTTCTATTTATTTATTTATTTATTTATTTATTTTTCAATTATTTAATATGAAATTGGTTTTTTTTTAAAAAATGGCCAAAAAAAATTCCAAAATTAAATCCAAAATTAAATAGAAAGAATAAAATTGTTTCTTTCTTTCTTTCTTACTTACTTACTTTTTTTTCGTTTAGTTTATTAAATGTTTATATATATATATATTTGTTAATGATTTATATACATAATTCAATTAAATTTAAAAGAATTAAATCAATAAATAAATGAAAATGATGTTTTTTTCTTTAACAAAATCAAACAACTGTAGAATGTTTTCTTTTAAAAAAAAAAAAAACTTGAATATAAGCATATATAGTGGGATGTATGGTGGGGACAATTTTCTATTTTAAATTTGAATTTAAACAAGACAAATTTGAGAATAGAAGGAGGGGTGTTTTTGAATTTTTTTTTTTTTTTATTATTTAATAATTAATTATTGCCCAGTCCTTTTTTTTTATTTATTTATTTTTTTTATTTATTTTTTTTGATTTGTTAAATTTGTTAAATTTGTTAAATTTGTTAAATTCGTTTTGTGTAAAAAGTGGGGAACTATATAATTTACATGATGGTCCCGCTTTTTACATCACTACATATATATATATTACCTGGCTGGTAATTAACGGTCGCTGCGGCTGATACTCTAGGCAGCTCAGCATCAGTTATTATATAATTAACTATATATATATATATATAAAGGAATAGTGCTAAATAAGGGGTTGTTTCCTTTTTTTCTTTTTTTTCTTTTTTTTTTGGCTTCAATGAATGGTAGTTTATGAACCAAGATAAAAATGGATATTTAAATTAAAAAGTATAATAATTGGAATTAGAATTGGAATTTATAATAAATATATATATATTGATAACTATTAAAGATATAATTTTATGTATAAACTCAAAGAAATCTCCGAATATTCTCCTCCTCTTCTTCATCGTTTTTTTATTTTTTTTAAAAATCTCTCTATTATATTTTATTTAAAAAAAGTCTATATATATTTAAAGTAAAATGTTCCGATTCCTCCGTCTCATCCAGAATAAAAAATAAAAATAAAATAAAAAAAAAAAAGGAGCGCATACTATGCAATTCTACTTTAATAGTCCATCTAGTGGGTCGCTCGGTCTGTCTATTTGCCTGTCTGCCTGCTATTTTATGCTGCTGCTTCTGCTGCTGCTGCTGCTTCAGCGTCTTATTGTCAGCCTGCCTGCCACTATGCCTTTTCCCTCTCCGTTTTCGCGATTTAGTCACGTGAGTATTACTTAAGCAAATTTAGATGAGTAATCTTACCCTGATGAGTAATCCTCCTTCAATCCTTCTTTTTTCTTTTGAAACACTCACTCACTCACTCACACATACTGTCTCTCTCTCTCTCTTTAATTCTTCTCCCCCCCCCTCTCTCTCTTTTTTTTTTTTGTTTCTATTACACTGAAAACACACACCCATGGAGGGGCCCTTCACATATCACAGCTAAGTTCTGACTCGCTGACTTAATAATAATATTAGTCTACTGCCCCACCCTTTCTTTCCTTTAACAAAAATGAAAAAATTATCTAATACATTACTAATAATACCCCTCTAGGCCCAGTTAATTATCGTGATACCGCTGCTTATCCAATCTAGTTAACTGTCAAAAAAAAGTCTTGTGCCGGGTACATATATATATATATATATATATATATAGTAACCAAAATGAAGAAAAAAATGCCTTTTACACATAAACATCCCACTAAAAAAACAAACAAAAATCCTCTATTTTTTTTTTCTTCTTTCTTTCTTTCTTCCTAAGAAAAAGTTCTTGTTGAGTAGACAGACATTGGGCGGCAGTGCATTTATATTTTCTACGATAACGATAATAATAATAATAATAATAATAATTCCGAAACTTCCGACAAATATTGTTTTTTTTTTCTCACTCCTAATTATAAATCTGTAGTTTCTTTATTTCTTTCAAATCTTTAAAATTGATTGCTTTGAATAATTATATCTAAGCCCTTTTTTTTTTTTTCTTTTTCTTTTTTTGTTCTAAAACCAAAACAAACTTTGGTGACATTTGTTTATCGTCATTGTTAGATAGATAGAAAGTGGGGTGGGTAGACTTTGAAGGTGGGGAGCAACAACATAGTTATTTATCTTTAATATAATTAATATAATAATAATAATAATAATTAAGAACTTTTGTTTTTTTTTTTTTTATTTATTTATTTTTTTCCTACTTAAATACCGATGATTCCTGCAACAAGTCCTCTCTCTATTTAATTTTTTCATGAATATCTGGTAAAAATGTATCTATCATAAAAGAATAGACAAATTAGACCATTAAAATAGGCCTATTTGCTGGTCCTTTTTTCTTTTTTTTATTTCAAAAATCAATAATAATAATAATAATAATAATAATGAATGATGAACTTTCGGTTAACATTTCCCAGACTTCAAATTCTTCTATATATATATATATATATATACAATCAAAGTCTATATTACGATTATTTCCCCACCTCTTTTTTTTTTTTTTTTTTTTTTTTTTCATTTTCAAAATGCCTATTAAGAATTGATATTTATAGTAAGTTTAGGATATATGGAAAGGAAAAAAAGAAAAAGAAGAATAGAAGCTTTAAAAATAATTTTAACAATTGACTTAAAAATGCCTACAAAAAAAAACAACAACAACAAAACGGCCTTTTCTTTCTTTTACCTGATTTTAAAACTTAACAATTTAATTTCCACTACACATTATTTTTTCTCTCTCATTTTTTTTTTTCCCCACATGGCCTCTCTAACTCTTTCTTCTGTTTGTCTGTATGCCCTAAAATTTAAAATAAATAAAAATAAATAAATAAATAAATAAATAAAAAGGGACCAGACCTTTTTCTTTCTTTCTTTCTTTCTTTCTTTCTTTCTTTCTTTCGTTCTTTCTTTCTCTCTCTCTCACCATTGCTCTAAAAATCTAATTCTTAGATAGATAAATACCCCTCTAAATGGTGATAGTGATGATAATATTTGATAATATTTGATCATCTTTGATCATCTTTGATCATCTTTAATATTTTGTAGTATTTTCCCAGTAAATATACTCTTGTACTTTTGTACAACATGTGTTTATGTCGTCACCATGAAAAATAAAAAAAATAAAAGAATTCTTGCAAAGCCGCATTGCATCTCGGGGAACAGTCGGGCAGGTTTTATACCAAAAGTGGTGAAAAAAAAATTTTTTTTATTAAATATATATAACAATAACAATAACAATTACTGCAAAGAAAAATATATTATAATAATAAACATTTTGATGATCATCAAGACAAGATAAATTTGACATAACTATGTGCGCGAAAAAAAAAAAAAAAAAATTCAACTTTTTTTGCAAAAAAATCAATGTGGTCCAACAATTGCAGGAGTGAAAAAAAAAAAAAAAAAAAAATATTTCAAGTAATGTGACAATTTGTTATTTGAATAAACAAAATCATGATTATATAGGCTTATTGGAGTAATATCTCCGTCTCTTATTTTTTTTTTTTTTTTTTTTTTTTTCAAAGCTTTAAATTTTTTTCGGCAATTATTCCAAAAAAAAAAAAATAAAAATAAAAATAAATAAATTATCATACAATTATCATTCAATTCTCGGAACTTTTTTTTTTTTTTTTTTTTTTTTTGATTCTCAAAAGATTATAATCTTTATATGAAAATTCCATACGGTCAGCATCCGGCGGTACGTTCCATGTAATCAACTTCAAAATCTTCGAGAAAAAAAAAAGCACATACTATATATTTAGTTTGCATTGAAGAATAGTCTATACAACAGGTATTAACACCCCCTTGTCCATCAACCCCATTGTATGTATATATATCCAATTATCTTTATTTATTTATTTATTTTTTCTTATATATTATACATACTGTACAAGAAACGAAAACCTTTCCTTCCACTCGTTTAAATCAAGGCTTGCTCATCTTCTGTCGTATACTTAGTACTACACCTCAATCATTTTTGATATTCAAGTAAGCATCTTTCAACAAACCCTCATTTGCCAGAAAATAAAAAAATAAAAAAATAAAAAAAACCATTTTACGAGCAAATCTTTTTTGAGTTTTTGAATCCTTTGTTTTTTGTTTGTTTTCTTTTTTTTTTTTCTTTTTCCTTTTTCCTTTTTATGTCTTTTCAAAATCAATTCTCTTTACTTTAATCTTCAATCATTGCTTTTCATAATTCCATATTCTGCATATATCTCCTTCTCTTATTTTTTTTTTTTTCTAATACAATTCAAAATGTCAAAAAATCTTATTGTTATTGTTTTATTTCTTTTTCCCCCAATTCCCCAATTGCTGTTTGTTTTCTCTTTGGCTGCTTTTTTTTTATTATAATTATTAAAAAAAAAATTAAAAATAAAAAAATAGCCGCCCGTTTTTCTGATTTTTTTTTTTTTATTATTTCGTTGGTCTTAAAAAAGATGTTCCGAGTTGTCCGGGTCTTTTCGTTTTCTTCTTCTTCTTCTTTTTTTTTTTTTTGTCTCACTTTGATTTAAATCTTCCTTCTCTTTGTTTTTACCTTTGTATATATATAAATAAAACAATGGAAACTCAATCTTTTAAAGCAAAAAATCAAAAATCTTGCTTAATTTGTCCAAATATCTATTTTCTTTCTCAATCTCATCATAATCATCATCAAAAAAAAATAAAAATAAAAAATAAAAATTCCCGATTTTGTCCTATATATGTATTACACACAAAACTATTTTTTTTTTCTAGTGTGGTATATTCATGGTAGGTGGCTCCTTGGAAATTCGCGCACTTTGTCGGAAGTAATTGTTGTTGTGTGTCATTATTTTTTTTTATTTTTTTTGTTGGTTTTAGAAATGATGTTTGTTACTCCTTTAGGAAGTGCGGCGTATTTCTTTATTCACCCATTTTTTTTCTTTTTCTTTTTTTTTTTTTTTTTGGAGGGGGTTTGTGTGTGTGTATGTGTGTGGGGGAGAAGAAGAGGAAGATAAAATGGAACCTTTGTATATATTTCAACACTCACACAGAACTTTTTTACATTAAAATATTTGCTTTAACCCTAAATTTTTTTTACATTAATCACGTGAGCAAGTAAAAAAATCGACATTTTACCGAAGCTGTCTTACGGAAGCTATTTCAACCATATATGTATATCGTATATTGTATTGTCTAACTATGGTAATTACCAATCTGTACTTTGTATATTATGCACTTACAAACCCCGTGGATTTCCCCAAAATTGCCCCGCCCCCTCTCCGCGTTTTTGTTTTTTTTATTTTTATCGTGACATCTCTTGAAAACATCAGCTACATCTCTGTCCCCTACTTCCACTGGTCATAAACCATAATACTACAATCTATTCAAAACTGATGTAATGTAATTCCGTGCTAATTGAAAAAAAAAATAGATAGATAGATAGATAGAGAGTTATTAGAAAGAAGAAAATGGGGTATTAGATGGAATTACAAAAGTAGAAATTAGTAAAAAGAAAATAAAAAAAGATGAGTTATCAATTTTTTTTTTTTTTTTAAAAAGCAATTGACAAATTGAATTTTTATTTTAATTTTTTTGTTATTTATTGCTATTTCGCAACATCAAATCAATTGCTATTCACATTACTTTTTATTTTTTTTGAACAACTTTTGCCGAACTTAAAAGACTTCAATAATTTGAGGGAAAACAATTTCCTTTTAAAGAGGAAAACGTGCACATGGATATATAATAGTTTTGTTGATACTTGAAAATCACAAGCAACCGAAATAATGTTTAAAGAAGTTAAATAAAATACAATTGAGATGATTATTATGATATAATGTACTTGATTGATTGATTGATTAATTGATTAATTGATTATCATTGTCTTTTTTGTTTTTTATTTATATAAGGCTAAAAATCATTTTAAAAGATCCGAAGATCCGTAAACAAATCATTGTTTGGAGGGGAAGGTTTTTTTTTTTTTTTTTTTAAAAATAAATTAAAGATATCAATAAATAACAAAAATTAATTTTTTTAAAAAAAAAAATGAGGTCCCACAAACAATATTTAATGTAATTTTAAATTTAAATAATTATTTTGATTTTATTTATTCATTTGTTATTATAATAACAAATTTAACAACAAAAAAAAATTAAAGGTCTATGATATTCTTTAAATGATGTTTGAAATATCAAAGGATGGTCTACAATAGTTGCCCCACTATCTATCTATATATATATATATATATATATATATATTCACATCTAATGGGCCCTTTTCTTTTTGTCCCTTCTTTGTCCCACTTTTGTTATAGTTAAAGTATGTTTGTTTACTGGAGATCAATTTCCGAAGAATAATAAAAAAAAAAAATAAAATAAAAACCAAATTGACGCCTTTTTATATAAACTTTTTTTTTTATTCAACTTTTTATATTCAACATATTAGAAAGAAATATATAAAAAAAAATAAAAAGCTCCATATATCATTCTTCAAATAAAAATAAAATAAAATAAAAACTTCATGTTATGATGATAACAAAATTAAAACCTTAAGCTTATAATATCAAAAATAAATAAAGCAATTAAAACCATTTAATATGAAAAAGAGGAAATGAAAAAAAAAAAAAAAAAATTGTAAAAAAAAGAATTGATCCTAAATTATCCGAAGATGAATTATATATATATGAAATACTTGGCAATAAAACAATAATAATTGTGACAAAAATCAAGTTTTTATTTTTTTTTATTTTTTTGAATTTTTCATTCAAAATTTCATTTGTGATCTGCAATTTCTTCAAATATCAATCAACATAATCAAAAAAAAAAAAATATCGGGTCTTCTTCATTTGATTTTTTTGGGAGAGGAGGGAAGGAGGGGGGTCATATAGTAGTAGGACCTAAAATAGTAATGGAAACAGCTGAAAAGCGGGCATATCCTTGATTAACAAAACTGGCTGGCTAGCTGGCTGGCTGGCTAGCTGGTTTAGATATCCTTAATGATGTTACATCATTTATAATATATGTAAGCCATTTGGTAATCATTACAATATTATGTCTTTGACTTTTTACTCCCTCCTTGAACCTGGAGCAACGGATGGAAGCAAAAGAAAAAAAAAAGGACTTTTAAAAAAGATTACATAATATTAAAAAATTACATAATATATCATTGATTATTCATTTTACATTACTGACAAATCACTCTTATCAATACACTTACAATCAACATCAACCGGCAGTGCAAGTACAAATGAAAGGTTTTTTTTTTTTTTTTTCTTTTCTCTTGCTCTTATCGTGCGGCGTTCTGTAATAAGTTTCCGTTTATTATATTTTATTTTATTTTATTTTTTTTCAATCTTACCAAATAGCTACACACACACATACACATACACATACACATACACCTCAACAGAAACTGCCCCACTATTATCACTATCAGACCAAAAAAGAAAAAAAAAAAGGAAATTGCTCGCTGGCTATTAAAGAAATTACGGCCTTTGATTATTCCATCTATTCAGCTTAATGATGGGAAATCATTAAAGCCCCTCTTTTGGATAAACGGAGCTTTTATTTTTATTTTTTATTTTTTATTTTTTATTTTTTATTTTTTATTTTTTATTTTTTATTTTTTATTTTATTTTACGAAAAGTACCAGAGTTAGTTGTAGAAGTAGTATAGCTGTTAAAAGTAGCACAAAATAACAGGAACAATGACTAAACTTTTGTTACAGACTTGTATTACAACTTTATTTAATTACATTTTTTCTTGTAGATATATATCAAAAGAAGTTACAATTACATTTTAATAAATGACAAAATGACTAACATGGTACTAATAATTACTAATCACAATTACTTAACAAGGTTCCTTTATTATGCGACTGAAGCCCCTCCAAAAAGGTTTTTCCTTTGCGGCGTCCCGCACCATCTTGCCAGCATCCGCTATCACAAGCCTCCCCATTGACTGATTTTGGGCGAATACTAGCTGATTGACGACCCACCCCAAAAATAAACACACAAACCTTCCTTCCCACAGGCTAATCTCATACATCACCACCACTATCGTGAACTCTTTTTTTTTTTTTTTTTTTTTTTTTTTTTTTTTTTCCTTCCCCATTCTAACAATAAAATCACAATTGTAAATCCTCAACTTTTCATAGACAAAAAAAAAAGAAAAAAATCCTTATTTTCTTCAAGGCTTCTAATCCTATAAGAAAGCCAAGAAGCAAACCTTTAACCATTTATCTGGGTTTGTTTGTACTACTGTGGCACGTTCCACAATATTCAGCCACTTTTTACTCACAAACCATTAAACCTCCTTTTAATTATCCACATAATCTCATTTACAAAATAAAATAAAAAAAAATCCCTCTCTTCTCAATTTTTTTTTTTTTTAATGACACTCATCCATAATGTCTTTCTTCACAACTCTTAAAAATAAGGCCTCCCAGATCTCCTTGTTTGATTTCCAGTCCAATCGCACAGCCACAGCAGGTGATGCAGCCGCAAATAACATCTCACCTTCCGTCACAACCATCTACAATCGCCGCTTCTCTCCAGACGAACTCTTCCGCCATGATTACCGCCTTCCACCTTCGGAATCTCTCATGGACCAGGTCTTAGCCGAAGTCACTGTCGTACCCTCGGAAAAATCGGGCAAATACACCTCGGGACACATTGCAAACCCAACAGAAGAATTCATTGTTTTCCCAGGAAGACTCTTTCTCTCAGAATCTTTCCTCATCTTCACCTCCCACACAGACCCAAGAAACTGCAGCTTTACTCTTTCCCTCCTCACCATCCGTAAAGTCGAACGCTTACCTTCCCAGTCTCACATCTTTGCTCTCTCACTCCATCTTTACCATGGTGTTACAGTTATCCTTAACTTTATTGGTCTTCGCTCAGATTGCGAGCGCTTTTGCAACCTTCTCAAAGACAACCTAAAATCAAACCTCCCGCTAATCAAAACATCAAAGACCTTTTTAAATACCTTCTACTCAGAATACCTCGTCCATAGAGTCGCAGCAGTCCATGACAAGGCTCAAAAGGCTATCCCAGAACCTCCCACCGGTCTCGGGAAACTCTTTGGCTACCCAGGCGACCCTAAAAAACTCCGCGACAAGTCAAAACTCCGTCTTTGGTACGAGTACATTAAGGACAATGGCCGTAACATTTCAATTGTTCGTCAACAAGGCTTTTTCAAGCTTATCCGGGTCGGTCTCCCTAACAAGCTCCGCGGAGAGATTTGGGAAATCACCTGCGGCTCGGTCTACCTTCGCATGCAGAACCAACGTCTTTACAAGTCTCTTCTTGAAGAGTTCAAAGGTCGTAACTCTGTTGCTATTGAGGAAATTGAAAAAGATCTCAACAGATCTCTCCCAGAATACCCAGCATACCAGGACGAGGAAGGTATCGGCCGCCTCCGACGCGTCTTGACTGTCTACTCGTGGAAAAACCCCGAAGTTGGCTACTGCCAAGCAATGAATATTGTTGGGGCTGCTCTTCTCATCTACATGTCTGAAGAACAAGCCTTTTGGTGCTTGTCCCAAGTCTGCGATACAATGCTTCCAGGATATTACTCAAAAACCATGTACGGCACCCTACTCGACCAAAAAGTCTTTGAGGAACTCGTCAAGAAAACAATGCCCATACTTGCAGAACACATTACCAAAAATGATATCCAACTTTCCATTGTTTCTCTTCCTTGGTTCCTTTCCCTCTTTATCAACTCCATGCCCCTGGTGTTTGCATTTCGCATCATGGACGTTTTCTTCATGGAGGGCCCCAAAACTCTCTTCCAAGTCGCCCTTGCCATTCTCCGCATCAATGGCGAAGAGCTTCTTGACGCTACCGACGATGGCATTTTCATTTCCGTTTTGAAAAACTACTTCTCCACTCTTGGCGACTCAGCTCACCCGAACTCTACAAACCCCAAAGTTCAGCAAGTCACTCGCTTCCAAGAACTTATGGTTATCGCCTTTCGCGAGTTTTCCGGCATTTCAGAAGCAATGATTAATGATTTCCGCCGGAAGTTCGAGGGCAAGATTCTCGACGACATTGAAGTCTTTGCCAAACGCACTCAGATCCGCAATCTCTCCAAGCCTCGCTACATCTCTATGGACCAGCTTGGTGTCATTTACGATCGCTTTTACGCCGCCATCCAGGACACTAGACTTGGAATTGGTGCAACCCGTACAGACATGGCCCTCGACGCCTTTGTCATCTTCATGGCCGGTATTGTTGACTGGATGGATCCGGCTTATTCTGCAGATTTCCATGCAAAAATGACCATTACAGAGAAAATCTCCCTCTTGCGCAACCAGAATCACCATGACTTTATCTATCGTCTCTTTAATCGCTGGGATACTCAAATGCTCGGCGTCTTGACCCTCCAGGACGTGTGCTCTGGTCTTGACAGTCTTGTTGATCCTGACCTTATGTCATCCATGGCCTACTTTTTCGATCTCTACGATTCGGATGGCAACGGCACCGTTGACCGCGAAGGCATTTTGAAAATGTCGGAAGGCTTGCTATTTCTTACACGGCCGTTCCGCGAAACTGCTTCACCCATCTTGGACCAGTCGTCACTCAAACTGGTGGAAGCAAACAAGTTGGCCATCGCCAAGGCTAAAGAGCACAATGAGTGGGTGAAGCGCGAGCGTGACAAGCGCAACAAGCGGCGCAGTCGCAGTGATAGTAGGGCCACCCAGCATGAAGCTATCTCAACGGATGAACAGCTGATTGATCTTGATAAGGATAACGAAAGCATCCGATCCGCTGCCACCGTAGCTACAACAAGTACACAGCAACCATCAGATGAGCCATTAGAACCCGTCGATATTCCCTCGCCAATTGACTTGACTACTCTTCGCCATGAACAGAGCGTGCGCTACTTGTCATCAGTCTCAAGCTTTATTAATCGTGCGTTTGAATATGCTACCCCAGACGCCAATGGCAAGTTATCTTCTCCAACACAAAGCGTCACAAGTCCCACCAAGGAAGAAAGTGAACCTTCTTCTGCTACACAATCAGTCAACAATGTTGCTCTGAACCCAGATGCACCTTTGTACATTTCTCTGGCTGCATTCCGCATGGTTGTTCTTGCAGACGAGACTCTCGAGACTCTCTTTTCGTACCAGCTCCAATCCTCTGTCCGACTTACACCTGAGGGCACCGGACTTTACGGTAAGAACCACGGTGCCGGGAGCAACGGCAATACCAGTGGACTGGCGAGCATGGCTGTTGGTGGGATTGGCCATGGTGCAGCCAACATGCGCGTTGCAGCGGCCACAATTGCGGGCCAGAGTATTGACGGCGGACGTGCGGCTGCAGCTACATTACGGTCTGTATTTGATGGCATTGTGACGGATGTGCGGCGGCGCGTGGATGATGGCGTGGCCAGCATCCGTGCACGCGACGAAGATGACCGCGAAGAAGACGAAGTTGCTGCTGCCGTGGGGAGCGTCAACAAGGGTGACCGTGAGGTTCTTGAAGAGGCGGATGAGCTTGCTCCTAGAGTGATTGAAAAAATCGGCGATGAAGACAAGAAGGATGGTGATGCCGAAAAGGAAAAGAAATCTGAAGAGTCTCTTCTGTAATAAGGATCTTAAAGAGAGATGTACTTTTTTTTTTTGCATGTATAAAAGATAAAAGATTGATTAATTAATTCACAATTCAAAGTGGAATTTTTTTTTTGAGGCTTCTGTTTAGATTGTGTATGTATATGATGAGGTAAGCCACTGGTGTTTTTTTTTTTTTTTGATTGTTTATTTTTTACTTAAACAAGGGGTGGGTTTAAATTTTTTTTTTTTCTTTCTTTTGTTTGCATTTTGACAAGTTTTTTAATCGTTATAATTTAACAACCCATATTATTTCCACACATTTGAATTGTCTCAAAGGTCTTAATCAATGTCTTATCGTCTTGAAAGTGCCAAATCCAGTGCGGCCGTGTGTCGTGGTTCCGAATGTCATGCCAATAAGGTGAAGATTCTCAAGGGTGAACTGCGCCTGGGTGTGCTTGTTTCAATCATGAACCACGACTCGTTCCAATGGCGGCATTGGAGGTGCGTCACCAACAAAGTTTTACATAACATTGAGGAGAAGTTGGGTGCTGATGAAGTTCCACAGGAAATTGATGGGTTTGAAGATTTGAGCGAGGAACAGCAAGAAGCTGTTCGTGAGAAATTTGAAGAGTGTAAGTTAACTTGTTTTTTTTTTTTTTTTTTTTTTTTTAGAATTATGAATGAAGATGCTAATAGAGATTGGGAAATTTACAATGAAATTTACAATGAAATATAGACAGGAAAAATCCAGAGGGTGAAAAACAGAAGAGAAAACCACGGAAACGGGTGTCCAAGGATGAAGAGGAAGAAGAAGAGGAAGAAGAAACTAAAGATGAAGAAGAAGAAGAAGAAGAAAAGCCTAAACGCAGGGCTCCAGCTAAACGCCGCAAGAAGGCTGAAAAAGAGGAAGAGGAAGAAGAAGAAGAGGAGGAAAAGCCTAAGCCTAAGACGCGTACACGTCGTGTTAAAAAGGAAGAAAACGTGGAAAAGGAAGAGCCCAAACCTAAGACGCGTGCACGTCGTGTTAAGAAAGAAGAAGAAGAAGATGATGAAGAAGAAAAGGAAGAGCCTAAACCTAAGATGCGTGCAAGTCGTGGCAAAAAGGCACTAATTGAAGAAGTTGAAGAAGTTGAAGAGGTAAAGCCTAAGAAACAAATTAGGAAACGGAGCAAGAAGGTAACAGAAGAAGAAAATGAAAAGGAAAATTACGAGAAAAAAGAGGACGACGAGGAACCGGTGCCTAAGAAACAACGTGCAAGAGCGAAATCTACTAGAAAAAAGTCGGATTGAGAATATTGCACGCGGTTAGTTGTCAATGGGAAAGTAAGTGTAGTGTAGTCTTTTTTTTTTTTTGTTTATTTTAGAATAATACTTGGTTAGATGGTATAATGATTTTTTTTTTCTTTTGTTTCTTTTTAATGATTAATATTTATCAAAAAAAATTCAACTTGATTCAAAGATCCTTCCTTTTTTCACGCCATTCTTTAAACTTTGGAGTAATCAATTCTTTTGCATCAGGAATTTTTTCAACATCAATTGTTACTCTAAGAGGTCCTTCCTGCAAAATTTGAATGTTAAACACACTCGAATCGTCAGCCTCTTGTGCCTTGACTGCATCTAAAATGGCCTTAAACACGTCGCGGGTCCATCCAATGCACTGCTCAGGGTTCCAGTTATAAGCATAGAGAACACCTTCTTTTTTCATTCCTTCTGACAAATCCCATTTTGGTGCTTGAAGAATCGGTATATCTTCAATCCACAACAGTTGTCCGCTAAGCGTGTACAACCCAAGATGCCCAGCTCTCGCACCAACAACACATCAATACAACCACATGCGCATCATGTGTTTCAACAGCGCCTTATACTTTGTAGGAGGTTTGTTATCTTTTCGGTCTTGTTTCTGGATTACCCACAATAGTGTGTACCTGTACCCTTCCGGGAGACTTGGAGCCACCCCAGCTGATGCGTCTGTAACTGGGTTTTGGTCAAAATACCCTAAGGACTCAAAATACTTGTCATCATTAAGTGCCTCTTCCCCTTCAACTTTTTCTAAGTTTAGAGCCCACGCATTCTGCCAAATTGTCACGTCTCCGACCCCTCCCAACATCAGTGCGTACTGGCTTGGTATTGTATCCATGTCAATCGGCTGGTATCGCTGTTGCGGGTGATTTGGGGTCTCTATTGTTACGCTTTGCTGAAACTGTAGTGTAAAATATTTGTACAGAGCTTCACTATCGTGAATTTTCCCCGGAGAAGGTTTGAGTTGTTCTGTGATAAATAACTGGCCATTGTACATTTGTGCAACTAACTTGAGTCTTTTGCTGCGTGAACCGTGTATTTCAAATGGGAACCCAGCAATCACTTGGAAAAGCGTATGAGTTATCACAATATCTGATTTGATGCGGTTGTGGCTCCACTGTTCGTATGTTATGATTGCATTTTGAAAAAACTCAATCTTGAACTTGTCTTGGTCGTAGGCTTTTTTGACTCTTTCTTTTTGTATAATTGGGTCATATCCACACTTCAAGTCGACTGAATGTAGGTCATGCGGCCGAGAATAGTACCAAAAGGTGTTTGTTTCTTGAGGCCCATTTTCGGTCGTGTAGCGGAGAAGCTGAACAGGCCACTTAAATCTCACGTTTTCGGGATGATTTTTAAATGGATATATGTTGGTTTTGGAATTGGACATTTAGAAATAATTCACAGATTAGATGAAAAAAAAGAATGAAAATGTTAAAATGTTAAGAATTTAAATTCTTTTTAAATTCATGTTTCACACTCTAGGGTCAAAACTTTTTTTTTTTTTTGCCATAGTAGCGATTTCTCAGCTCATTTACTAATTAGAAACCTTTATAAAGATTAGGTTTATTTGGAATGGCTAAGCAACAGTTTTGAGTTCTCCATTTATTCTTGAAGATATGAATAATTTTATTTTTTATTTTTTTTTTTATTTTCATCCTTGGCTAGAAAATAACTCTCAATAATTTAATATTCATTTTAAGCTTGTTTACAGGGTTTTCTTATATCGACTTTAAATACAGTGTAGCTTGAGTATCCATTCTTACGTTTCAATTCATTTTTTTTTACCGTAAAATGAAACATCATTTATTCATAATGATGTCCTATATCTAAATTCAAGATATTTTAATTTAAATTTGAAAAATTTCAAAACTTCAACGCTGTTCATGTAATCCAAAATTTGGGCCCATGTTGTCTGTAGAATAGAAATGTTTCCAATACCTCTCAAAACTAAAGCACTTGAGGAGTTGAGAACTTACTTGTCTACTGAAAATTTCCCAAGCTTTGGTTTTTTTTCTTCTTTTTTTCATAATAATTCACTGAAGCAATTTGCATAAACTAGTCCATGGCATATTTGTATTCGGCTTAAAGATCTTTAATTGATTCTAGTTTTATGGAATTCTCTGTGAAAAATTTCCCATAATACAACTAGAGCTGTTAGAGCTTAATTTGAATTCAGAGAGAAACCCATAAATGATTCTAACCAAAGCATGTGAAATCACGACATCTGATTTTATTTTAGTATAGTTTCACTGCTTGAAGAAAATGATTACCGTTTGGAGGCCCTCAAAAGTTTGACGGTGCTTATTATAAGAATTGAAAACTAGTCTTTTTGACGTTTTCAAAGTCATGTCATGCTTTATGATTAAATAAATTGTAGTCACTCAAGAGCAGGTAATACCAAAAACCATGTTTCATGGATTCCAGAGTTTTTTTGCAATATATCTCAAGAGCTCCATTTGGTCACTTGATTTTTGAGCACATTTTGATTTTTTAAAAGGTTTATGGAATCAAATAAACGTATTGTGTTTACTTCATATTATTTAAGCAATGATCTGGTAATCCAATGATCAATATTTTCTTATTAAATAATTATTATAAACAGCCATTTTCCCTTGATTAAAAACAAGTTCTCAGAAGTATGTTTATAAACTTCAGTTCAATAAATATTGATAATAATATTTGCTTTTCACTGTTATAACCAGTTAACTTTTATTATTCAATGAATTATTAACAACAGTTGAACATGTTGAGAGATTTTTTTTTTTAATTTACTTTATTACCTATCTTGGAAATATTTTTCAAAACTAATTCTGTTTAACAAGAGAAGGACTTTTAATTTAATTGACATGTGTGTATTTTATGGATAAATCAATTTCAAGAGGTATCAATAAGCATGTGTACATTGCGCCACACGTTGTTACACACACAGCAATGTGGTGTAGTAATATAAATGCACATTACAGATCATGTAAGTCTTTTAGCAAGTTCAATACTTTGCATCAAGTGCCAATGTTCTCGTGAAGAAACGAAATTGAGCTTGAATGGCAATTATGATCAATATTCTGCTTCAGTATTTTTTTCAAGATATGTAAGATAGTTAGGCAAAAAAAAAAAAATTAAAACAACATCATTTAACATGAAGAAAAAAAATTGGTTAAGTGATGCGGATCTTGTTGGTATATATATATATATATAGTACTATTGTTGGGAGGGTTCTAAAAAACCGTATATATAGAAACCTATAGTATACACACGTCTGTGAACTATTAAATTGGTGTAGGATTCCCATCAGGGAAAATTATCCCACACTCAGCCGCCCATCATCTTTTCATTAGTACGCCCACCACATGGACCTATTGGCATTGTGGCATTGTAGCATTATCATTATAGCATTATAGCATTATTATTATTACTGTTAATTTTTTTATATGGACGATCAGGGCTGGGAAGAGAAATGCAAATTTGAGATGGGGGATTTTTTTTATAAAATATCATTTGGTATACAGTTGACTTCCGGTGCTACGTGTCAGGACATGGCCGGAATAAGCTTATTAATAAGCTTGCAATATCCAGTTGGTATTGCTTGGCTGTTTATAGAGAGAGTGTATATATTATTTATACATGCGATTTCACATTCTATTTTGTTTTTTTTTAACATAGTATATATACAATATATATTGATCAAATATTAACATCTATCAATCATTGATTTACCTGAATTCGGATATTTTAAATGTTTCCAAACTCAGGTTGGAAGTTGGATAAGTGCACATACGCATAAGTGCGGTCCGAGTTTGGGAAGTTTTTTATTTTTTTTTATTTTTTTTTATTTTTTTTTATTTTTTTTTATTTTTTTTTTTTTTTTTTTTTTTATTTTTTTATTTTTTTATTTTTTTATTTATTTTTTAATTTAATTTTTTTTTTTCTTTTGGCTGACTGGTCCGACTGGCAGGTGGTAAAAAAAAAAATAAAAATAAAATAAAAAAAATAAAAAAAAATTTTTCTTTCTTCTTACTTTACTACCAAAAAAAAAAAAAATAAAAAATAAAAAAATAGAAATTTGACAAACAACCGACTCAATTTTTAATCACCAGGTTCTCACGGATTTCATTTGATTTGAAGAGAAAAAATCCCATTTTTCTCTATTTTTTTCTTATTTTTCCTTATTTTTTCCTTATTTATTTAACGTAATCTCTTGGTATCACCAGCCTTTGTTAGGTATATGCAGCTTTAATACTTACACCTCCATTCAAACAAACAAAAAAACAAACAAACAAAAAATCCCTCCAGACAATATTTCCAGCTTATTTTCATTGACTCAGTCATCATTGACCTGTATTCAATCGAAAAAGCCATTTAACTTTTTATCTATTCTGTTTCGGCGCGCCTAAATAACTGGCGTTTTGTTTTCCTGTTCCTTTTTTTTTTTTTTTTTTTTTTTTGCTTTATCTCTAAATTTTTTTTGAGATTTTTATTTGTCTAGAAAAAAAATACAAACACGCGTTTTCACGCGAATATTTTTAATTTTAATATTTTTTATCAACAACAACAACACAACACACCACTACAAACTACATCAACTATGGCTGACACAGAAGTTAAAGTCCGTGGCCGTGGGCGACCGCGCAAATACCCACCAGGCCAATCTCCATCGGAGATTTTGCGCACAGCACGCGAAAACGGAGAGCGCAGACCACGCGGAAGACCGCGCAAAAACGGGTCTGTTAGTGGCAACGGGGGGTCGCCAATAGCTATTGCAGCTCGTCTTAACAATAAACTTGATGGTTCTATTTCTACTGATGGTACCATAAATAACCTGTTGTCTTCTTCAACTTCTTCTAATGGGGTAAATACTGGAACACCTGCAGCAAGTAAGCGCGGAAGAAAAAAAATAAAGCACCTTCATGAAGAAAATAACGTGCAAATGCTGCCCTTGTCAGTAATGCCTGTTTCTGCAATGTCGACAACCTATAATCAAGATGATAGCGACGGTGATTCTGACGATGAAGACGATGATGAAGAGGATGACGATAACAATAATAATGGAATTGGACTTGCAGCAAACCAATCAGCTCTAAGTGAGTACTATTTTATTTTTTCTTTTTTTGACTTGTTGTGTGTGGGTTTCTTATTTTTTTTTTTTTTTTTTTTTGGATGAGATATACCCCACACTTTAAGCCTTTTTTTTCGTTGCTTTTGCTGTGATTACAATTAACACGCGTCTTTTTTTATTTTTTTTATTAGGAAACAATCAATCTGAAAACGCGCCATCACCACTATTAGTCAACCAACAACAACAACAAGGACTAACGGCCCAAGGTCAGGTGAAACGCGGACGCGGGCGGCCGCGAGGATCCCTAGGGTCTACTTCCCGTGGCGGGTCTGCTCCAAGTGGCCGTGGCCGTGGACGTCCGCGTAAGAGTTGACAGACAGACAGACAGACAGAGAGCAAGGAAAAAGAAACGAAGAGAGTTTCGTAATAGTAATAAAAACTTAGTATAAAAGAAACACAAATGCACTTCTTGTTCAAAATGTGAGCTTTAAAGTGCAAAGAGGTCGAGACATAAATAAATATGGGAGTACCAATTAGCTATATACAATTTTAAATGGTTTATTTTGGTCCGGACCCTCCTCCAATTAAACCAGAATCAAGAAAAAAAAAGAACAACATGGTTTTTTTTTAATGGAAAATTTATTACAGGTTATTAATGATTAGAATAAATGTTATCTTTAATTTTGAAATTTTTTCTTTTTCTTTTTTTTTTCTTTTTTTTTTTCTTTATGATGTATAATTTTGAATTTTTGGGAATCTCAAATTTTTAATGACCATTTTGATATTTATTTTAATATTTTTTGATATTTGAACGATAAGAGAGAGTGGACAAAAAAAAAAAACAAAAAAAAAACAAAATGTAAAAAAGACTTTTTAGGGTTATATATTTAGGGCTTTAGTTTAGCGTTTGTGACCTTTTATTAAAAACAGTCACGCCAAAATGTTATAACAATGCCGCACATTATTCACGTGATAGACTCAATACGCGTCTTATTAGTTTTTAATTTTAGTTCTTTTATTTTTTTTTTTGAAAATAATTATAAAATTTAATTACGCGTATATTTTTAAGTCGCGATATAAACGCGTAACACAAAATCTTCAAATGTAGTAAATGCAAACCCTTACCCCCAATGAAAAATTTTCACTCTTAGGTCACGTTACCCATACATACCTAAATTTACACGCACTCACGAATATTCTGGACCCTAGAAGCTTGCCGACTCAGCGTCTCTCTCTTTCCTCTTTTTTTTTTCCTCTTTTTTTTTCCTCTTGCCCCCCTCCCCCCCCTGTGTGTGTGACGACGACCTCTGATTCTCAAGACGACCACCCTCATTAACCAGTAAAGATGGGTATGTGAACATTATGTTAAACGTTTGATGGCGACTTTATACTCCGGCGATTTTGTTAGTTTTCATCTATATAGATGTGTAGTTGAATGATGAAAAAAAAACTTACACTCATATATCCTTGTAAAGCAAACCAAAATACCCATATTACTGAAAAATAAAAAAAGCTATCAAACTTTTATTTTTATCCAAAGATGTTGACTTCTAACTCTTTATTTTAGCTATCAGCAAGAACAACCCAATTGTCAAGAACCACTTCAGAAAGCACTGGCAGGAGCGGGTCCGCGTCCACCTTGACCAGGCTGGCAAGAAGCAGAGCAGAAGAACTGCTCGCGCCAAGAAGGCTGCTCTCGTTGCCCCTCGTCCCGTGGACCTTTTGAGACCCACTGTTCGTGCTCCCACTGTTAAGTACAACCGCAAGGTTCGTGCTGGCCGTGGTTTCACCCGCGAGGAGCTCAAGGCTGCTGGCATTGTTTACGCTCAGGCCCTGACGATTGGCATTGCTGTCGATCCCCGCCGCCAGAACAAGTCTGTTGAGGCTTTTGAGTTGAACGTCAACAAGCTCAAGGAGTACAAGTCCAAGCTTATTCTTTTGCCCCGCAACGCTGCTAAGCCCAAGGCTGGTGAGGCCACTCCTGAGGAGTTTGCTGCTGCCAAGCAGGTTGCTTCCTCCAACGCTGTCTTCCCTGTCGTCCAGGCCACTCCTGAGTCTGCTCCCCGTGCCGTTTCTGGTACTGAGGAGGCCTTCCTTACCCTTAGAAAGGCCCGCAGTGATGCTAAGTTCGCTGGCATCAGAGCCAAGAAGGCCCGGGAGGCTGCTGAGGCCGAGGCTGAGAAGAAGAAATAAAGGTGATGTAAAACTAAAAGAAAAAATACAGATTTGCAATGAAGTTAATGAAATACCCGATTTGGGATGTAATAAGCGTTGCGGCGTTGAAATGGGATTTCTCGTTAAAGTTTTTTTTTGTTATATACTTTAAAATGAAGATTGTCAAATTAAAAATTGGGGAAGATATGCAATGTGAAATGAAAAGACATGATTTATATTTGATAAATCATTTTGAAAGAGATTGTATATTTTAAGAATAAAGAACAAAAAAAAATTGATTTAAAGATGATTTAGAGATGGGGTTTTTATTTTTTATTTTATTTCCCATAATAATATTTCCAATATATCTGAAACACGACTGTCATGAGCCTCTTTATTAATGCACATAACTTTAACATTAAAACTGAATTCTGGAATAATTTAAAAAAAAAAAAATCTTGTACCTTTAATATTAACGGGATAATATTTTAATTTGTTTATTTATTTTTCTTCTTCTTCTTCTATCATTTAAAGAACAAAAAACTCAATTGAATTGGAATTTGACAGCAGCTTAAAATGACAAAAAAAAAAAAAAATAATAATAAGTTGAAGGCATAATTCGAACAAGCAATAGTAAGGGGAGTTAAATTATACGGCAAATAAAGTTGAAAGAAGTTCATCTTTTGATATTCAAAATTTTTTTACTATATTTTATATATTTGATTTTTTTCAAAGTCTAAGAAATTGAATAAGAAATATTGGAAATGAAAAAAAAAAACATAACTTTACTTGGAATGAGTTTATGAAGATTGACGAATACTGGAAATACTACCTTTTATTTATTTATTTTTTTTTTTGGGACATGCATTTCGTTTGTAAGAAACAACAAATTTGTGGAACAAATGATGATATCTATTCAAGTATTTTTTTAATTTTTTTTTAATTTTTCTTTTTAATTTTTGAATCATATTACCAAATTTGTCTAGAATTCCGTTGACAGTTTTCTTTTTCCTCCATGTCTTTCATCAATAGGTTTTTTTTTTTTTTTTTTTTTTGAGTATTCGTCTCACAAACGTTTATATAGACTCAATCCAATATTCACGTTGAGATCTGAAACTGAACCGTTTTCTTTTCTAAAAAAAAAATACAAAAAAAAAAACAGAAGACCAATTTCACCGAGTCTCATTTCATTCATTCATTCATTCATTCATTCATTCATTCATTCATTCATTCATTTACTTTTATTTTAAAATCCAAACAAAAAATAACCATTACTATATATATATTCTCCAAAAAAAAAAGATCTAAAAATTTACTATTTATACATTACTTTATTAGAACCCTGTTTCTGCGTAGGATCCTGTGGGAGACAGCAAACAAGCTGCATTGGGAACAACCTCGACCTGGAAGGGTGTGTGAGGGAACGCTTCACCATCAATACTCAAGTAACCTGAAGACTTTTCAGGAACAAGTCGGTAAGCAGCAACCTTAGCATATACAGCGTGATCAAAGTCAACATGAGTACCTTGCTCAATTGACAACATCATACGCGCAGCTGTTAACCGTGACACGTCTGTTCGTGAAACAAGCAAATCCATGGTACCATCTGTGGGTAGTGTTCCTGGGAACATGAGGGCACCTTCAGAGACCCATGGCATTTTACCAGCGTAAAAGAGAGAGAGCTTATCACAGTCAGGAATTTCTTCCCAATCGGCTGATAGGGGATCTGCTGCTGTACCATAGTGTGGTGTGAGAAGTTCTTGAGTTGTTTTGGGTTCTGTCAAAGAGGTGTATCGGGAAATTTCTTCTTGAGTTGATGGTGCAGCACGGAAATGAGCACGCACATCAGTCTTGGACTTTTTAGCATACTTGACGTAGAGCTTGCAAGGATACTTTTTCATGAGCAGGATACGTTGGACAACTCCAACATCAAAGCGGGCTCCACCCATCCAGCGCAGGTTCTCAGTGCCGAGATCAGCATCTGCAATAATACCGAATGCTTGTGTAAGAAATGAAAGGGTATGAACGACAGGAGCAGAGGGAGATTTTTGTTGAGTCATGAGCATGAGGTCGATAGGCATGCGACGGCCCTTAACAAGACCAAGAGCTGTTTGAGAAGCTGAGGCATGGCCATGGAGAGAAACAGCCATTGAATTTCCAGATCCACAGGGCAGTTGAGCCATTGGTAGGTTTTTAAGAATCTCGAGGCCATCGCCTTGAGGTCTTGCGGCTATACCATTGATAATTTCATGGGGGATACCATCACCCGAACAGCATACAATTGCATCATATTTGGCTAGGGGGTTTTCCAAAGTTTGAGCAATTTCAGCTGCATGGCGATAATGTTGAGTTTCCACAACAGTTGCAACACACCCGGCGAGTGCAAAGACAGGTGCACATTGAGTATCATAAACCTGGCGAGCCTTTCCGGGTCCACCATGAGGGTTAATAATGACTAGAAATCGTTTGCGAGGTTTTGTGTCTTCATAAGCAAGCCCTAGGATATGGGATGCGAGTTCTGCAGTGGACTTGAATGTTGAAGAAACTTTAATAGATCCAAGGGGGTATGAATTCAAAAGGCCAGTATTGCTTCCTGCCGAGTTTTTAGGAGACAATTCTGGGTCGTCCTTTTTTGTTGAAAAAGTTGGCAAGGTACCAGCATTGATGAAATCATTAGTAGGACGTGTTGGCGCGTCGTCAAGCACGAATTTGAGAACTACAGTCATGGGGACGAGTTTCTTGGGGCCTTTGGGTTTCATATAGGCGATAGCTAATGGTGCAGACACGCGACCATTGGAAAGAAAGTTGTCAGAAACGTTAGGAGCAGACTGGTTATAGTAATAGACGTTCCCAGGATTATTTGTGGGTAGGTTTGTAGAGGAAGCAGCAGTAGGGTCATTAATATGAGTGACGCGATGCTGGGCAGAGGGGTCCAACACGGGTTTAGGGGTTGTAGAGACGAGACCAGGGGCATGGATTACCGAGTCTTCTGTAGAATTGAAGGAGTCTGTGAGAGAGTCTTCAGTGGTTTGGGCATCAGCTTGAAGTTGGGAGACAGCCAGGATGTTGTTGTAAGGGATGTTATAGAGAGGACCAGAAGAGGAGGAAGAAGAAGAGGAGCCAGATGGGAAACAGCATAAGGAAGATGGAGTGTCATTGTTAGGAAGTTGGGAAGACCCAGAAGATGTAGCTAAGGCTTCGAGGGAAGGGTAGACGGCGATACCTACTGGAGTAGGTTTAGCCCAGAGGGGAGCAGAAGCAGCAGCAGCAGAAGCAGCAGCAGAAGCAGCAGAGGCAGAGGCAGAGGCAGAGGCAGAGGCAGAGGCAGATGGTTGGGTTGAAGACATTATGAAGGATTTGAATTTGCAAGAAAAGCTGGAGAAAAGAGAGTTGACAAAAGAGGGCAGTGGGAGGTATTTATAATTAAAAGTAGAGGCAGATTCTTCCAGTAGTAAGAACGATCCACATGCAGCAGACACAGAGACTACCAAAACAAGCACTAGCGGACGACCAGCCAAAGAAGAGCAGATGGGCATTCAAGCAAAAGTAAATAAATGATAATAATAAAAATAAAAATAAAATAAAAAAGTAAAAAAAAAAAAAAAATTAGATATATAGATTATAAGACTATAGATGATAGCTATAGGAATCTTAAAGTGACTGACAGATTCATGCGAACTCTCAAATGAAAAGAAATTTTACAAAGTTATTATAAGGGGGAGAGAGAGAAAGACTAAAGGCACAAAAAAAAAAGAAGGTTGGTTGGTGGTGGTATTAATATTAAAGTATATAGTAATATATATAGTATAGTATTAAATGGTCATTAAACAAACAACAAGCAACAACGACGGCGATAACACGGGACTTTTATTTTTATTTTTATTAAAGGTAAATGGCATGGTACCTAAAAAAAATAAATAAAAATAAGAAAGTATCAACTGAATGCAAAAAATAAATATAAATAAAAATAAAATGGAGAAATTAAATTAAATTCTAATCAAATCAAATCAAATCAAATCAAATCAAATCAAATTTTTTTTCTTTTTTTTTTTTTTTTTTTTTTTGCCATCATCATATAACTGTAGCATCATCAGGACGGAATGTGTAACGGTATGAAAGTGACGAGATGAGAACATCGCCTGCAGATGCACCTGGCGACATGTCTCGGACAAGTCGAAGAACAGCTGCAAATCCAAACTGGTTTTGGCCACGTTCTGCTCCTATTTTCGAGCGACCTGAAACAGAAACCACAGCTTGTCCGTTTGCATCAAGAGGATGTACATCAAGACTACTAATATCATGTTTACCACCTGCTGGGAGGCCAGTTGCAATAATTTGTGCAAACGCATCACGGCCTTGGATAGGGGTACCAGTCCAAACAATGGCAGCATCTGGAACAAGATAGGATAGAACTGGGGAAGAAGAAGAAGTTTGGGAGTTGTCAAGTGCATAGAAGAATCGACGAATAAAGCGTTCGGCCTCGTTGGCAGCCGCAATCACGGCATTCTGGACTTCTGGTGGAACCTACTAAAGAGGATCAGTTTATGAGATTAAAAAAAAAAATAAAAAAAAAAAATTGGTCATAAAGAGAGAGATAGAAAGAACATACGTTTGATGTAGATGCTCTGTACATTTTATGTGATGTGCAGGGTGGATCTGAATTTTTTTTTTTTTGATGGAGGTAGTTGAAAGAAATTTGAAAGATCTTGTCCAGTTTAGGAAATAAAAAAAAAAAATATTGACAAAGGGTTACCTGGTAGAGAAGATTATTTATAGGTATGTTAAAGTTAGTATTAAGTTACATTTGATAACTTTATAGTACAAATATATTACAAATTATATTACAATTATATTACAAATTAGATTACAAATTTATTACAACCATGTGACACATTGCATTTCACATTTGTTACAATTTCCACATGAATATATTTTATTTTATTACCACGTGATAAGCCCAGCCTTTTTTTTTTTTTTCCTAGCCAGCCTGCCAGCCAGCCATCCAGCCATCTAGCCAGCTTGTTAGCCCCGCCACCCATTTAAAAAAAAAAAAATTCTTGTTGTTGTTGTTGTTGTTTATTGTTGTTGTTAATTTTCTTTTCCCATTTCTGCATACATAACCACCAACTACACAAGCACCACCAGACGCCTCCACGCGTTTTTATTTTATTTTATTTTATTTTATTTTATTTTTTTTGCGGTTGCTTAAATTGCTGAATTGCTGCCACCCCTTTTTTTATTTCTTTTATTTCCTTTCTTTCTTTCCTTTCTTTCCTATCACCATTCACAAGAACTTCCTTTTCTTTCTGGATTTTTTTTTTTTTTTCTAAATTTTTCTCTTCTTCCAATTCAATTATATATATATATATATATATATATATATTTATATATATAAAAGGCTCTTGATATCCTCTTGTTTGATTTCAATCTTCTTCAAAATCCCCACTCCCTTTTTTTTTTTTTTTTTTTTTTTTTAAAAAAATCCATTTGAAAGTTCTCTAATGTTTTCACGCAGGAAAAGCTCAAATAGAACATATTCACTTACGCCTTCAGCGTACACCCCAGCGGCCCCCTTTGACCCGCCAAAAGTCAATCCTACAGCCCTCGCAGCTGCTGCTTCAGTTGCTCAAAACCGGTGTAATTCAATTTCTTCTGACCTTTCAAGTGCAGGTATGGTATTTTTTTTTTTTTTAAAAAAAACACTTTTCTTATCTCAATTATCGTGGAAACCCCCCCCCCCCCCGCTCATTCTATTCTTAATTAATTCTGTGGTGGCACTATTTAACCTTGAATTTATATATATTTTTTTATCGATATAGCTGCTGCTGCTGCAATTCGCAGACATTCATTTACAAATGATTCTCAAGCTGCTCTAAACAAACTTAACGCGTCATCTCATACACCCCAAAACCCAGGGTACCGTATGGGCGCTTCTCGTTCACCTTCTCACCAAAGACCAGTCTCTACCCTCCGTCAAAATACTCAGAGGTCCCACTCTGCAAGACCACAAAGCCACGTACCTCCAAAGTCTACTCCTATCCATACTCAAACAACTCCTCCTGCTTATACTCAACAAAAAATGACTCGCACAATGTCCCTCCAAGGATCTTCGCGTATCCCTAATCCTTACCCCCCTCCAACAACAACGACCTCAAAGCGTGTCGTCAACCCAGACCGTACAATGTCTCTTACAACAACAACGGTCAGGACTTATGGCTCCTTTCAGCTTATATCTACTAAAACAACCCCAATTCATGCCCCTCCTCCTTCTAAAAAGAAGGCCGCTGCCACACCTAAAAAGAAACCCCTTAAAAAACCACAGGCCCCAGCATATGCCTCCTCTATGCAGTCTATTGAGTCTGATCTCGATTCGGTTTTGGAAGAAGACGACTCATTTTATAATGACAATGTCCCAGGAATGCCCCCAGCTATCTATATCTCGGATGATAATACTTCGTCTACTCTAGCCTCTAGACCAAAGTCTGTCTCCACACCAACAAAGCACCACCGTATATCCTTCTCTCCAGTCCCATCAGATGAAGGCCATCACCAGCCTCCACCTCGCTCAGTATCCCCAATAAAGCCGTCTTTAAAACCTGACCATCATTCACGAGACGCTTCAGTTTCTTCAAACATTGATGAGCCTACTACAAACTCTGTTTATCTGGCCCCTAACTCCAATTCGGCTCGTCGCCAGTCACGCGTCTCCTTTTCTTCTTCTGATGCGGTTAACGAGTATAATGCTCACCACCCTCCAAGTGCTCCTCCTGCTTCAAAATACTCTTATGAGATTATTGTACCTCCCACTGGTGGACCCTCAATTGTTACCTCTACTACTACACTCTCTAAAAAGACACCCGCTGCATCTGCTGCTGCAGTTTCTGCTGCGTCTAAAACCCAAAACAAGACTGTTAATAATACTTCCAGGCTTACTCGCAGACACTCAGTTCAAGCTGCTGCTGCTGCAGCCATTAAAACTTCTACCTCTAAAACTTCTAGCCCTGTTATTGCGGCCACTCCTGCTCCTAGAACACGAGCCCCAGCTGCTCGATCAAAAGCTTTGGCTAAACAAGTTTATGACGATGACGATGACGAAGACTCATCTTCTGGACATTCCATTTATTCAGACGCTTCTGATTACCCCCTGAGCGAATTGTCACCCCCTCAAATCCCCTCGCCAAAACAATCCCAGCAGTCGCCAACCAAACCTGTCACCGTTGCTGCCGCAAACTTTGCTTCTCAAAAACACCAACCAAAACCAAGCGTTTCTGGACCCACTGTGGAAGCTGCTGCTGCTGCTCGCTCTTCATCCATTCGCAATTCTAATGGTATGGCTGTACCACCATCACCCATCTCTAATTCTTTCCATCATCAGCAGTTACAGCAACATCAACAACAACAGCAAGGAGGGCCAAATGGCGTTGCCCGGCGCACCTCTCTGCGGAAAAATTCTAAACCCGCGGCACAACACTCTCCCGCCCCTGCCCCCATTCCAGCGGCAGCCTCTGCTGCATCGGCAGCTGCTATTGTGTTACCGTCACCCTCCATTTCCCACTCGTACCGTGCTCTTGTATCTGACAATGACGAGGTGTCCTATGCGGCTGTTGTGATGCCTATCACAAATCCTACAGTCACTACTCCTATTATTCCTACTATTCCTCCTACTACAACTGTTGTCCCTACCACTACCACCACTCCTGCCGTACCTTCTATGCAAAAGCTCCACGGCAAATATGACCATGAAGAAGGTGTTTATGATCCATACCTTGACGAAAATCAACCAGATGAACAAAGTAACTATAGCGAAGATGAAAGCGAGGTCGCGGCCCAAGACGTGGATGATGTTATTTCCATGAGTTCAGACTCTTCTTGGATTCGCGACTGCAGTCGTCCTGCTCAGCAACATTTGTCGTTTAAAAACACTCTTCGCAATAATCATGTCAGCGATGTCGATAATTTGGGTGTAATTCGTAAAAACCCAACCAGCCACATTTCTTCCATTGCACCGCCTAAAAAGCCTGTGGCTAATAACCAGCAACAAAAGACTTGGGAGCGTGTCAATCCACCTTCATACAATCCCCAGTTTTTTGAATCCACCCGTCATAAGCCTCAGGGCGAGTATGTTGGACTTGAAAGAACTCTTTCCAATTCAAGTTTTGATAAGGAGCGCCGAAAGAAAAAGGCCTCATCTAAGTTTGCATTCCACTCGTTGCGTGATGCGCGCGACTCCTCAATGCCTCCTCAACAACCTTTGCTTCCTCCTGCACAACTCAATGGCCGTTCCATGTCATTAACGGCAACCACCTCTCGTTCATCGTTTGCAGCTGCTGACGGACCCCCACTGGCCCAACCCTTTAAGTCAAGACTCAAGGATGACAGCGATAGCGATTACGAAGGTGTCATTAATGACACTCTAAAAAATGCCAAGGTTAGCAAGCCACGAAGATCGAGTTTTGGAGGCGGGCCTAGAGCAGCTGCTGTGAATTCCACTCCTGCACCTGCACCTGCTCCTACCCATGCTCTTGCACCGGTAGCCAGCCCCCCCTCTCCACAAAAACCACACGGATTTCTCTCTACCTTGCGCAAGGACAATTCTCACTCGGTTAACCACCAACCTCCAGTGGCACCTATTTACGATCTCCAGAAACAGTTGACCCCTCCACATAGCTTTTTACCCGCTACAAAGTCGCGCTCGCCTTCGTCACCTTCAGCACTTGCCGACGTTCCCGAGGAAGAAGTGATTCCAGGCCCGCGTAAACAAACGAAGCTTGGCGCTTTGTTTGCCAAACGCCAGCATATTGTTGACATGCAGAACCAGCGTTACCAAGAACGCAAGACTCACCGTTCTCATAGTATGACGAGTGCGTCGATGCGTCCCGTGTTTGAAGAAGCACCCCCAATGCCCGAGTATGTTGTATCCGATCCTGTGGTGACTGCTCCTACTTTGCGTAATAACGCCCCGCAAAATAACGTTGCTCCCACAAGTCTCGAGGCACCCCCCGTGCCCCAGACGCCTGCTGAGAATGGATCGGCAGTGCCCACAACACCTAAAAAGAAGAAGTTTGCTGGACTCCGTAAAGCGTTTGGCTTAAACAAGTAAAAAATCTTTTTTTTGACTTTATTTTTTTTTCCTTTTTTTCTTTTTTTTTTTTTTTTTTTTTTACAAGGCAACCTAATTAAGATTTTGTTTAATTTTTTTTTTTTTTGAGGGGAATGAGTGACTTTTAAAAAGTTTTTATCTCTTTCTCATATACGTACTATCTTTTCTTACTCAAGCATACTTGCAGGCACTTCTGGTCCAAAGACGGGCTTACCATTAAGCCGCTGTGCAGCAATAGGCACCCGCCGTGTACGTACCTCTGGAACACTGCCCATGGGCACGTTATCATCTCGACGTTCGATACGTGACAGCTCATTTGCCTGCTTTACCATATCAGTCCACACACCATGGATAGGATTGGGTACACCAGACGACTTGCCAACGTGAGTCTTGTGAGGCTCATGGATAGGACAATCAGCCTCGTCACATAGGCCACGGGTTGTCCCAAACTCATCCAAAATCTCGGCAAACCCGAGCCCGGTGGGATCAAACCCAAGCATATGTGCAAACGTCTCTGCAGGATATCTTGCATCTTCAGGGACCTGGAACCCTCGGCGCATCTGCTCCTGGCACGATACATCTTGAGTGTTCCATGCATGTGTATAGTACGGGTCCACACTGTCTGTAGCCAAATCTTCAGCGGCCTTGATTGTGTCTAACGGAGTCCCTGGTTGTGTCATAGAGGCAGGCACTGCCATTGACATAAACTGTGTACCAGCCTTGGCCTCTGCCTTGTGTAATGCTTTTGTGCTATAATCTCCTAGCTCAGGGATCATTCGTTCCACCAGACGTTTACGTGGCCGCGCCATGTGCTCACTATGCTGTGCTAACACCTCTCGCACATCGTGTGCCAGTTGAGCGTCACCTGCTGCATCTGCTCCGGCTGCAGCAACTGCTGCTGACCCAGGACCTTCTCGAGTTGACGACAAAAATGATGATGTTTTAGGAGCCTCTGGGTCTGCGTGGTCTAGGGTCCGTTGATGAGTGTAATTCTTTGGCCGCCCTAAATCATTCTTGCCCACAAGCTTGGACTCTTCCACTCCGTGCCATGGAAGAACCACGGCTGACTTGGATGCTGGTTGTGGACTCGCTGTACGGGTAGCATCATGTTCGTCAATTTCATCTTCTGGCGATCGGGCACGGGACTGTTGCTGCGATAAAGGTCGTGATGCAGAACTTGGAGATTCTGATTTGGGTATACTGCTATTACTTGATTGCGAGGATTCTTCTTGACGCATTGTTTTGGTATTCGGATTTTCCTTAAGTCCGCTATTTTTCGCAGCTGTAGTAGTAGTAGTAGCAGTAGCAGTAGCAGTAGCAGTAGCAGTAGAAGTAGCAGAAGTAGACTTTGATTTAGAATTGACCTTAGGATTAGTTTCGTTCTTTTCTTGCGTCCCATTTTTCTCAGGAATCTTATTACTAGGGGTATTTTTTAATGGCATATTAATTGGAGCCGGTTTTTTAGGAACTTCTTTATATTTTGAACTTGTTGATTTATTTTTCATGGTAATGTTTTGGAAAGCGAGTGGAGTCAAATTTGCCAGTTCTTCATCGCGTTCGCAAGTTTTTGCAAACTCTGCATAGTCACCAGTGGCTAATGGTGCTTTAGGTTTAAAGCTTGGATCAAGACCAGCTGAAGAGATTCTGTTTTCGTTAGTGACAAAGGCGAAAAGTTGTGCATATTTCAGTTCGAGCATATCCCGTTCATTAGATAGAAGAGTGTTTGATGTTGTGAGCTCGTTAAACATTTTAGGGTAGCGGCCAAGGTCTCTAATAAGTCTACCTTTAAACTGTTCAAGGTTCTTAAGTTTATCTTCCATTTCAGAAATCGTGGAAGAAAGTAATTTGAGTGAATGCCCATAATTTGTTTTGAGAATTCTCATTTCTTCAGCGTGTTTTACCATGAGTATGGATTTGGGCAGTGCTTTATTGGCCTCACTGCTCACTGGCCGTGAGCCCTTGTAGTAATCGTAAGAAAGATCGACGAGACAACTGGAGATTGTTGTTAAGAGGGGGATCCAGCGAAGAACTGATTCCAAAATAATTTCTGAAGATGCAGCGTACTCATAGGCAGCACGGATTTGGGCCATGCGTAAATGCACGTCATTTTTAGGGAACGATTTATCTGGTGCGCCAGCAACAAGTTTAAAGACAATGTCAAATAAATTTTCAACATCAGTTCCGCTTTTATTGAGCAAGTTCATTCTTTCATATGAGCGTTCTTTGTCAAGCTTTAATAAGGCTGAGCCCAAGCTATTCAATGGCTTCATGCATTCTTTGAAAAAGGTATCTGGAGTAATGACGGTGCTGAAATCGTCTCCACGACGAAGTGTGTTTGAAAGAAGTGTGAGTTCGATTGTAGCGGATTTTAAAAAATCTGGTCAAATGTTAGAAAAGGAAAAAATAAAATAAAATAATAATCTACAGAATCCAACCTACCCAGAGCAGATGACATTGTATAACGGGTTGATGTAGTAGTAGTAGTCGTAATAATAGTAGTATTAGTATTAGATGTTGATATGAGGTAGGTTGGAAGGTTTTGGGTAGCTTTGGGAGGTTTTCAAAAAAAATACATGAAAAATGGGTTAGGGTTTAAAGAAGTGATCTGTAAGTACAAGTTATTACGAGTAATATCAATGTTACTTTAAAGTAACATAAGTTACGGTAAGATGTCTGCTCTAGCAGGTAGTCTTGGCGGCAAGATGAGGGCTGTAGCCGCCAAGGTCTGTTTAATGCGAGCACGTTGGCTTTTGCGCTGGATTCCCCAGCAGATCCATTTCTTCATTTGAAGTAGGAACTATCTGAAAAAAAAAAAAAAAAAGCAGCTGACTATAATATATATATATATATATATATATATATTTCAGAAATCACAATCGGAATCACGCAAGAACTCTTACACTGATTGTAAATAATAAAAAAAAATTTCTTTAGGCAGCGTCTATTTTTCACAGCGACAACAAGTTGTTATGAAGAAAAAGGTCAGGAGGAGGGCAGTGTGGACGGCTATTGGGCCATTTGCTTTTAAGCCCCAAAAAAAAAAAAAAAAAAAAAAAAGTTAAAACCCTAACCCATTAATTTATGTCGTGCATCCCTTGGAATTTTCACTGGAAGGGCCTTTCATTTTTAATTAATTAATTAATTTTTTTTTTTTCAAACCCGAATATTTATATATAAACAAGCCCGGTCCCACATATTCTGGCATTTTCCGGCCTCTTTTTTTTTTTTTTTTTTTTTTTTCCTTCTTCTTATACAGTGAAAATTCTTGGAAAATCTTCACCACAACCTTCTCTCAACAAACCATCTCTGACCTTTCCAGCCATGGCGACTATTGCAGAGTCTCAACCTACTGTTGCAGAGCCACATCAGACTCACAGCTCGCTTCACCAGCGAACCCGACCTTCAAAGTTGGATTCACAGGTTAAGACAGTCTCTGACAAGTTTGGTAACAACAATAACGGCAGCAGCATTAAAAAGTTTAATAAAGCTTCATCAACGACAACGACAACTACTACTACAACTACAACTACAACAACAACATCGACTTCCAGTAACTGTAGTAGTGGTGATGATGACGACGTTACTCTCACAGAAGACTACGAAACCAGCAATATCATTTCCGACCTTGCTTCATTTGTTGACCAGGATGGCTGTATCGATATGGATTCTCTGGTTCAAAGCCTTGAGTCACGTCTCAACAACCTGGCCCAGTTTGGACTAGACTCTCTCAGTGCCCCTACAATGGCTGCCATGCACATGCCAAAAGCTGCGGCCGCGCGTGTTTTGGAACTGGCTGGCGGGTACTCGAGTCTCCAGGCGTTTAAGCAGACCCTGCTGGTTGGGGGCCGCAAGCACGCCGAACATCTCGTGCAATCCTTTGAGACTCACTTTAGCGATGCCTGTGCATCTACAGCAAGTGCATCCCAACGTGCTGTTGACGGTCTGCGCTACATTGACTCTAAGCTTTCTCTTCTTGAAGAACATTTTATCGATTCTACAATGTCTCTCGACGCCTCTACACTCCAGCCAACTTCGATTGTTTCTCACCTTCACATGCACAACTCGATCATGTCTGCCCTGGAGGCGGCCAAGTCGAGACTCTTGACCTATGAAGAGCTCCCCATCCCTTGGCAGGACAATCCATATATTTTAAATGGCTACCGCTTCACCCGATCATATACTGACTGTGTCTGCTCTTTGGCCAAAATTCACAATGAAACGTGCAATATTTGGACCCATTTGCTTGGATTCGTCGTAATGCTTCTTGTTGCCTTTTTCCACTACCCTACTACTCTTTCTTGGACCGACTCAACTTTAACCGACAAAATCATGATGATTGTTTTCCTTGTGGCTGCCCTTAAGTGTCTGGTGTGCTCCACTGTTTGGCATACCTTTAACGGAATTTGCCATGTGGAATCTAAAAAACGTTTTGCTTGCGTGGACTACACTGGAATCACAGTACTCATTGCATCTTCAATTATCACAACAGAGTACTCGGCATTTTACTGCAGACCATGGTTCCAAATCCCATACATTACCATCACTGCCGTTTCTGGTCTTTTTGGAGCTGCTTTTACCTGGCATCCTTCTTTTGACTTGCCATCCAGTAAAACTAAACGCGTTGCATTTTTTGTTGGATTTGCAGGTGCAGGCATTGCTGGTTTTATTCATGCCGCTTATCTCCACGGGTTCCTTGACACGTTTTTCTTCTACCTCCCTGTTTTCAAGTCATTAGCCTGCTATTTCATGGGCGTGGTAGTTTACGCTTTGCTCATCCCTGAGCGTTGGTTCCCCGGTGGAATCTTTGATTACTTTGGCATGTCCCATAATCTTTGGCACCTCAGTGTGTTTGGCGGCATTTACTTCCACTACATGGCTACTGTCAAACTACTGGAACAAGCTCGACACTACAGCTCAAGCTGTACTGCATGAAAAAAAGAGAAAAGAAAAGAGAATAATAACTAATATGATTTTAATAATCAATAATTTTCCACCTTTTTAAACTAAAAACCAAAACTAAAAAAACTCCATTTAATACCCTCTTGATATATAATGTATAACTAACAAATCTATCCTCATTATTTTTTAAAGTGTTTTTAAGCTTCCTGGAGGCCAGCAACCAGGTTAACTAACTGACTGCGAGACACCTCCTCAGGAACAGTAATATAACGCTGTAAAAGTAGTTAGTATAAAACATAAAAAACATGACTAGGTTCCAGCCTAGCCTATAAGCAGGCGGCCCGCCGCTACTTACATGACCGAGCCACGAGCGCAGCTTTGCATCGGACCACAATCGCGGGTTAGCAGACAAGTTGTCTGGGTTTGCAGGTTGTGAAACCTCAAGCTGTTGCTGGCCCTCGGATGAGGCCTGTGCCGCGCGTGTGTCAGCATCTAGCTGCTCAGCAGCGCGCTGTTCTTGCTTGCGGATCTGCTCGCGCTCCTCGTCAGTGTCGTAAAAAGGTTCTTCTCCAGGCACAATTTTTTTGGTCTGCAACAGAGAATCCTCAAGTGATGAAGATGATGTGGAGGGTCCGCTGCGCAGATTAAAAAGTCCAAAGCGTGAAGCAAGATAGGTGGCAGCAGTGGCTGTACCGGCGGCAATAGCCAAAGCACCAAGAGCCAAAGTAAGAGGTTGTTGTGATCTTCTAGACGAGGAGGAGCTCATAGTGTATCAAGATATAGGTATTTTTTTAAATAAAAATTAATCAGAATAGTAAAAAGACAGAAAACACCCAATCTTAGAGCAGATGATGGACTTTTTATAATTCGGAATAGCTTTGTGGCTGGCGCAGAAAAAAAGAGAAAAAAAAAAATTTATTATGGGGTGTGGCGTCGGTGTAGTGTGGCGAGCACGCAATTGCCAGTGATAAGCAGACAAGAGAGTGGAAAATAAAAAATAAAAAAAAAAAAATCAACTTTCAACCCTTGCCCTGAAAAATCTGGGGAAAGTCTCTAACCCTAACCCAATTACCTAACCCAGATTTTATATGAGGCTGAACCAACTTTATTTTTTTAGCAGCTCTGCTGAGCCGCTTCCCTCATCACCATCTGAACCAACAATCCTATCCCTTCAAAACAACCCCAAATGTCCCAAGAAGCCACGACAACATCTACTCCAAAACCTGCTCTTCAGGCTGCCGGCCACTCTGGTGTTTCTCAATCAGAGTCTGGAGAGATTTTTTTTAAGCCTTCCGACCTTGCAGAGGTTGAATTTTATAAAAAAGTTTCTGCAGACCATCCAGAATTACAAGAAATTGTACCCACATTTTACGGTATCCTTACCGAAGGAAACAACATTATAAATGCAGAAAATGTTCAACCAGAACTAATAGTAGTTAGCGAGACTCCTAAAGAAAGCCCTGGTGCTAAAAAGAAGAAGGAACATGTTTTGGCACTTAAAAGCTCGCTTTACGGGTTTGATGAACCTTGTATTCTCGACGTTAAGCTTGGCCACATTCTCTGGGACGATAATGCGGCTCAGGAAAAGCGCGACCGACTCGACGAAGTTGCACGCACAACAACTTCAGGGTCTCTTGATATGCGTCTTACTGGAATGAATGTGTATTATGATGGAAAGCCTGAAGGTGAACGCGTTGATTTTGGCAAAAACTACGGCCGTGATTTGACTGCAGAGAGCTTTGCTGACGGACTTGCCAAATACTTTGTGCGCGAAACTACCGGTAACAAAATTTCTGAAGAGACTCGAGCTTATTACAAGTATGCGCTTTATTATTTTGTGAACCGTCTTAAGCGTGTAGCAGAACTTCTTCAGCAAAAGAGCTTTGTCATGCGCGGCGCATCTTTACTTTTTGTGTACGAGGGCAACGCAGAAACCGTGCAAAAGAAACTTAATCAGCTTGAAAAGGCTCAAGAGCTTGAGCGTGCTGCTGAGGCTGTGGAAGAGGTAGCTGAGGAACTTGAGGAACTTGAAAACGAGCTTGAAGAAGAAGAAGAAGAAGAAGAACTAACGGCACAGGATATCCAGGACCAGCTGTTTAAGTTAGACTTGATTGACTTTGCCCACACAAAGTTTTTGGAAGAAGAGGCAGGCCCAGATGCTGATGTTCTCCGTGGTATTTCTATTCTTACTGATGTTTTCCAAGATTACCATGATAAAATTCACGAGTGGTGAAATAATATAATAGAAGTTGATTATTTAAATTGAAATTTATTTATTTATTTATTTTATTTTTTTTTAATTTTTATTTGTTTCCTTTTTTGATTTTGGATAAATTTAGCTTTAACATGACAGAGATTCTTTTAATTTAGCGTACACGTTATTCACAACTATCTATAGCTGCTAATATCAGCAACAAAGGGTGCAGCTAAAGAAACACGCTACTATGAATCATTAAATAACCGAATATTTTCAAAACTCATGCAGAGAAACAGTGTTAAAAAATATTATTTGAAGCATATTTAGATATAATTTCTGAGCACCAAAAATGTTTTAATATCATTACCATTTGAATCAAAAAAAAAAAAAAAATTAACCTCTATCAGCAGCAATGCATATATAAATATATGTAAAAATCGTACGATCACTTAAATTAAGGAATTTAAATAGAGCTTAGAAGCACACAAAGTCAATTTTAAAAAATGAGTTCAAATTCCTGAAATTAAATGACTTTTATTGAAACATGGTTATAATCATGTTTATGGAAATTTTTTTCTTAAATATCAGTTATACTATGTATTTTAGATAATAATAAATCTTGACTCCAGGTCTCAATTAATTTAATCAGATTTTTTTTTTTAATTTCTGCAGCTGTAGTTTAATCTCTGAATAAATGAATAAATATAAATTAATTGAAAAGACAATTGATTATAACTCAAAAGCTTTTAATACCTTTTTTCCTCATTAAAATTAAATTTATTTTATAACTAGGTAATTAGTATTTAAAAATAAAGATTTAATCATAAATAAATAAATAATATTATAATCTGTTTTCTCTCTTTTTACTTTTTTCCAAACCATATTTTTTTTTACAAGAAGCTTTATTTAGAACCAATTACTCTCTTCAATTTAACAAACTAAATTTTTCAATGAGATAGCACATTCATCTTATTACTTAATATTTTTAAAAAGTGAAGTACATTCAACTAAGATCTTTGGTTTGTTTATCATTCTTTGAAATGGAAAAATTATTGTTTTTTTTTTTTTTAAAAAAAAAAAAGTGATTATTATCAATTATAAATACATTTTAAACATTTTTAAGTTACTATATATGTTATATAGCAAAATGTATTGTTTTTTAAAATACTGGCATTGGTATGGTTTGTAAGTTGAGTATGATTATTTTCTAAATTGAGAGATATATATATATGTTATGCGACAAACAAAAAACAAAAGACAAAAATTGAGAATTCCACCTGGGTAAGGTCTTTTAGTTTAGTGTGATTATTTTCAAAATTGAGATATGCGATAGACAAAACAAAATAAGACAAAAACTGTAAATTCCACCAGGGTAAGGTCTTTAAAAATTTTTATTGTGATTATTATCAGAATTGAGACATGAGCCAGACGAAAAAAAACTGATAATAATTGAGGATTCCATTAGGGTAAGGTTTTATACCTAGAGTTGTCAACTTTTTTTTTTAATCTAGGGCATTATTCCTAATAGCTATGTTATGCAAAAGATAGCATTTTTCAACTCCCAAATACTCCTTACTTTTCCTCAGTTAAACAGTTATTTTAGACTTGAATTGATGATCCAATTGTCCAATTATTTTTTTTTATAAAAATTTTGCCATTAAAAATTTATGATTTTTTTTTTCGTTTAAGAATTTAGAGAAATAAACATGTTGGAAATTTTATACATCACAGTATAAATTAAAATTCTTATTTCAATGTTAACTGTCCAATGAATATATTTATAAATATTTATATAATATATGGTATGCAAATAATTTAAACCCTCATATCCTCCTATTCCATACATTTATATACCTGAAAGATACCCTCAATTCCGATCATCTCCGCTATTCCCGCTAGAGCGATAGTTTTGCAAATTCATATTGGGTAACAACGCACGACGTTGCTGGCCACTTGCAGGGGAACTATAATGCTGAGGGGGGACAGGAACACCACCAGGAGACCCACCATACATACCACCATTGCCAGGAGAGTACGTTGGATAAGTTCCATACACATTTTCTGCACCACTACTCTTAACAGCTGCCACTGCAGCCTTAGATCCAAGCATTTGTAAAGTTGGTGTAGAGGTGGGGGTAGACGAAAGATTGGGCAGAACAACAGGAGACGATGACTGGGGTGGAGGTGGGGCAGGACGCAAGGCTGGGCGCATGAGAGGAGACGAAAAGGGACGAGCAGCTGGAGAATTTGAACGCGAAGAGGCTTCATAAATTGCTTGGTAATGCGGAGGTTGTCTATCTCGTGGGAGACCGCGCAGTGGCGAAAATGGTTTTTTGACAACTTTGTTGGGCCCTGTTGTTGTTCCTTGAGATGGTTGCTGTTGATGTTGTTGCGGCTGTTGCTGCTGCTGCTGTTGTTGATGTTGATGTTGATGCTGCTGGTGATGGTATAGGGCTGATGGTCTTGTAGGTGAAATGTTAAGCTGGGTTTGGAGCTTTTGGGCCGTAGACAATACGTCTAAAGATGCACCTGAGTCGAGACCTCCATCATCACCAGAAACATCGTCTTCTAGAACAATGGGTTGGTGGTAACTTGAACCTGGAGTAAATGGTGATCGGAGACTCGAAGACTCATTATTTCCATTACTACCCGATCTGTATCGATCATAGTGTTGCTCGTACTGATCTGAGCTATGGCTCCCTAGAACCACGGCTGGCTTAGGATGTTGTTGTTGTACAAATGCATCTCCAAGTCTAGGTGATGAGGACGTAGACGTAGGACTGTAATAATTGTTATTACTGTTTCCCGAACTGCGATTCCGATCGCCTGGTGCGCGGCTGCCATTAGTTTCGTCTGAGTATTCTCTGCGCGGCGGAGAAGCTCCCCGACCAACTACTACTGCTGCTGGTGCTGCACTCATGGGTGCTGCACTGCGCGCTTTGCGAACTGGAGGAGGTGACACAACACCTGCAGAACGGCTGGGTGTTAACGACTGGGATGACCCACGATGGTCCAGTAATGGCTGTTGATGCATATCTCTAGGAGATTCCTGCAGGGTGCTATCGCGCTCGTCATCTATATCGAAGCCACCATTGCTTTGCGCACTTCCGTTCGAGCTGTTGCTAATACTACGCTGACTGCGAAGCCCCCCATTTCTTAGCACGCCAGACATGGCGCTGGGAGGACGAGATCCTGGAGAAAAGGGTGTTGACGTGTCACGGATTTTCCTTGGGCCCTTGACGCCTCCACTTCTTGGAATCGAGGATGAAGTGGCTGAAGCTGAAGTTGCAGTAGTCGCAGTTGTAGCAGTTGTAGCAGTTGTAGCAGTTGTGGTGGTTGACGATGCGCCGATGCTACCAGCACTGCTGGTGCTGGACGAGCTTGATGCTGAGGAAGTCATGATGACATCAGTTGGCGAATGCAAAAAGGTTGTGACTTTTTTAGTTGGGCGACTGCTGTTTTCATTGCTACTGCCGTTGCTACTATTCATATCGTATCCTGAGGCATATTCCATTTGGAGAAGGGCTATTCTCTGCTGGACCTCTTGTTCGACTTTGACATTAAACTCTTCGTTGATTTGCAGCATTTTGAGCTGTTGCTGCTCTTGTTCTTGTTGAAGCAACTGAGCCTGGTTTACTACAGTTTCGCGATCACGCAAAAATTGGTCTTCTTGAGCCATAAGAATTTGTTCCTTGGACTTGAGATCTTCTTCCTTGGCCAATAGCATTTGTTCGCGCTGACGCATTTCGACAGCCATATTATTTTGGGTTGTTTCAAGTTCGCGTCGGATTTCTTCAATGGCGCGTTCCTTGCGACAAAGATTCATAGGATCGAGATGCAAAAGTGCAGCAGTTGTTGGCCGCAGACGAGAGTTTTGGACGAGACATGCAGCAATAGTTTTAGCCAGGGTTTGTGAGTAGTTTCCTGGGAGTGGGGGGTAGGTTCCTTCGCGTATTTTTTGTGAGAGTTGCATATGAGTTTTGGCTTGAAAGGGAGGATGTTTTGCACATAGTTCGTAGATGACACAGCCGAGACTCCAAATGTCACTTTGTGGTGTAAATGGCTGATCATTGAGGACTTCTGGAGACATGTAATATGGGGTTCCGACGTAAGTATTAGACATGAAATGTTCTTGATCGAGGATTTTAGCGAGACCAAAGTCGCCTAATTTCACAGTGTTGTATTTGTCGAGGAAAACATTGTCTGGTTTGATATCGCGATGCAAAATGACGGTTGATGGAGAAGGAGGAGCAAAGAGTGGGTCTGTGACGTTCATGATGTTAATTGTACCGGAGATGATGCCTGCAGAGATGTTGCTACAGGGGCTGAAGAGGTCAGCAGCTGGAGGAGGGTCTGAGTTGTAGTGACAGCGGAAGAGAGCGAGAGTGAGCTGGGTGAAGACAGACCAAACGAGGGCTTCTGGGACGTATTCGCCTGTAGATTTACATGTCCTAATGACTCCTCCTAGGTCACCTCCATCGCAGTATTCCATGTAGAGATGAACGGCATGTTCGGCAATGACATGATCATGATAGTAGTACTGGACAATATTTGGGTGAACGAGAGATTTGAGGATACGGAATTCCGCCATGAGTTGATTTTTTTCCTTGACATTCATTGTGCGGTAAGAGATTTCTTTGCGTGCTAAGATTTTGCCATCTGAAAGCCTGCGGACCTTACGGATGAGACCGAAAGATCCACGTCCAATGACCTCAATAGGCTCAAACTGAGCTTCCAGAGACATGATTTTTACGTGTTTTGATGTTGATATAGTTGTTGATGATGAATTATTGGTGGTGAAGTAACAAATAAAAGTGTTTGAAGTAGTAATCCTTCAAATAAAAAATAAATAAATAAAAATAAAAAAAAACCCCAAAAATGGAGGAGGTTTCAGCCAGAAACAAAAAAAAAAAAAAAAATTTCTTTTCGCGTTTTTTTTCTTGTTTGTTATGTTTTATTTTTTATTTTTTTTTTATTACCAGAACTAGTAGTACGACAGTTGTAGCTGGCGAGTCTTAATTTGAGGGAGGGGCAGATAGAAAATGTTTGATTGTTTATTTTTATTTATTTTTATTTATTTTATTTACTTTATTTACTTTTGTACCGAATCAAGGAATTATTTTTTTATTTTTGAATAAGCGCGTTCACGAGCCTATTCCACGTGTCTACGCCGCACATACCCTAACCTTAAAACGTGACAAGCCGCAAGATACTTCTTAAATTAGTAATTTTCAATATTTATATATATATATATATATATATATATACAAATATAATAAATAAATGAATATATATTTTGAGTGATAAAAAAAAAAAAAAAAAAAAGAAAACGCCCATTGCCGTTTAAACAATTCTAATTGTGTCTCTTCTACTATACACTAAAAGTTCTCTTTTTTAATTTTTTATTTTTATTTTTATATTTTTTTTTTACTGCCAACATTGCAAAACCATCCAAAAAATTGGAACTCAAAAAAAAAAAAAAAAAAAAAAAAAAAAAGGAATACCAAAATAATCAAACAAGAATTTTAATCTTCTCTCTCTAGGAAAATTAGAACTCTTCTCAATGTCTTCAAATCATGAGTCGTCTTCTTCAGGAGCAAGCTTCTCCTCATTCTTTAAGGAGTCTCGTGCAAAACTAGACGCTGCCTCAGAAAAAGGCCGCAACTATATGAATAAGGATCATGGTAGTAGTAGTAGTAGTGGTGGTGGTGGTGGTGGTGGCCACTTCTCATCCTTTACAAACAAAATTACAGGCTCTTCAGAACCTGCTCCTACCATTGAGGCCCGACCTCTCAGTGCTCTCAAAGATCCGAAATCTTTCCCAGCTCCTCCTCTTCATCGTGCTGTTCATGGTGACCCCCTAAGACCCGCTGCTCACTACCCCCCTACTGCTACTGCACAGCCCCCAGTTGCCGCCGCTGCTAGTGCCCCAGCTTACACGTACCCACAACCAACTGCCTACCCTCCACCAGCTGCACCAGCCGCCTATCCACCACCCGCAGGTTACCCCCAACCAGGTTACCCTCAGCCTGCCTACCAGCAGCAGCAGCAGCAGCAGCCTCCGCCTACGGCCCCGGCTCCTCTAGTATACCAGCCTCCAGTTACAGGTTATCAGCCTCCGACTGCAGTATACCAACCCCCGGTCGCAGGATACCAACCTTCTGCCGCAGGCTACCAGCCTCCAGTCGCAGGCTACCAGCCTCCAGTCGCAGCTTACCAGCCCCCAGTCGCAGCTTACCAGCCCCCAGTCGCAACCCCGGCAGCTTACCCACCTCCACCTGCTGCTGCCCCGGTTGCTGCTCCGGTGGCCGTTTCCCCACCTCCAGTAGCTGCTCCCTACCAGCCCCCACCTCCCCCTGGGCTCCCGGGCTATCAACCTCCTGGAGGTGTACCGGCGACTCCTGCTAGAGCCCCACCTCAATTACCCTCGCGTCAAAATAGTATTGCATACCGGGCTTCTGTGTCGTCTCCAAGCCCTGCTGAGCCTGAACCAAAACCTCATGTACCGCTTCCTGATCCTTCTTCTTTCCCAGCACCTCCACCACTCTACCAGGGACCTACTGGTGCCCCAGAGCCTGTAAGCCATAACGGTCGTCGTGCATCGCATTACACGTCATCTACAACTGCTAAGCACTCAGCTGTATCTCCCGCAACACATGTCCCAGCTCCTGCTCCGTTGCCTTCAGCATCAAGTTTCCCTCCACCTCCAGGAACCCAGCCTTATCAGCCCCATTTAGCTCGGACAGTGCCACCGCCTCCAACCTCATCCTCTTCTTCAGCTCCTGCTCCTGCTCCAGTAGCTACACCGAGTCATACCTCTATTGGCTACAGTCCCAGCATTAAAAAGAAACCCCCACCTGTCCCTACCAAGCTTAACAAAAAGTCGCCACCTGTCCCTCCGGGTCGTAGCAGCAATGGTGCACCACAAGCACCTCCATCGCGTGCTGCTACGTTTGAAGAATCACCCCCACCACCATACACAGAGCCCAGACCAAAATCTCCCTCTGAGTCTGAAAATACCAACCATTTTCATCGTACATTTGCAGCCCGTGATCCAGGTCTTTCTCAAGAAGCTCAATCATACCAATCTTCTAGCTCCGATGCGCCTATGGGACCCATTGCGGGTGGAACAGCATCCCAAATTGCTAAACAATTTGAAAAAATGCATATTTTGGCCCCACAGCGCCGGCCCTCAGATCACTTACAAACTCCAGGATCTACATCAACTCATGCAGCACCTGCCACTACTCATACTACCCCATCTGCTGCGGCCATTGCTGCACACCACAAGAAGGCTCCTCCAAAACCTCCAAAGAAACCTTCCTTCTCTCATGAGCACCATCTAGCTCCTGAACCAGCTGCTCCTGTGCCAGCTGCTGCACCAGCACCAGCTTCTACTTCTAATGCACCACCACCACCAATTAATTACTCAACACGGCCTGATCCTGGTTCTTTGACTCCTAGCACTTCACACTCTTCTACAAATAGTGCCTCTTTTGGTGCTAATAAAAAAGACCCTAAGGACCAGTTTGATCTTGACTTGCCAAGCTTGTGGTTCACCAAGCCTGCACGCACGCTTACACTGCCTGCCTCACTACAGGGTATCAACTACACGTTCAGTCTCTCGTCGTCGTCAGGTTCAAGTCGCAAACTTATTTTAGCGCTCCGCATTGCTGAGACATTGGCCATTGTCAAATTCAAACTTGAGTGGAAGGTTGAGGACCCGCTGGGAACTGTTACAGTTGAACGTAAAGACATTCCACCACCAGAACCAATGGCTCAGGCGCAGCTGGCCCAGGCCCATGACGCGTTTGGAGAAAGCATTGCACGCTATGCTGAATCTGTGGTTGGCACACAGGTCGGTGACGGCGAGTGCTGGACTTTGGCTCAGCAAGCTATTACGCAGGCAGCAGCAGGCGCAGCCATGGTTCCTCAAGGGTATACTCATGGTGCTCTTGTGTATCATGCGGTTGGTGGTGCACCTGCTCCTCTTTGCTATGCGGATCGCATTGCACGTGGAGATATTTGTCAGTTTACTAGCGGTCGTTTTGATACGCGCAATGCCGCTGGAGTTATTGTGGGACAAGCATATGTAGGAGCACCCAACCATACCAGTATTGTTGTTCATGTTTCTGATGATAACCGGACGATTGACGTGCTTCAGCAAAATGTAGGAGGTGTGCGTCGTGTCCAAGCAGGCAAGCATAATTTGGATGAATTGGTTGCTGGTGAAGTGAAGATATATCGGCCAGTGTGGAAGGAATGGGCAGGTGAGCTTGAGGCTAAGTGGGATTAAAAAAAAAAAACTTGTAAAAGATGATGAAACGAATGTAAATAAATATAATTATTTTACAGAAAAAGAAGGAAGAAAGAAAAAAAAAATCAATATAAAAAAAAAAAAATAATAAAAGATAAAGAAGGAAGCTATATATATAGATTAATGAGCACGCTAGAGTTTATCGTTAGAATATTTTGAGTCCTAAGAAAAATGAAAGATAAAAAAAAAAAAAAACACATACCAAAATAGCAATAAACTCTTCTTCGTCGATCCGACCGTCACCATTTGTATCTATGGAATCCATCAACATTTGGATTTCGTCGTCTGCCATGTTCTCGCCAATTGCCTGGAGCAATGTCTTGAGCTCTTCTTTGGAAATATATCCATCGTGGTCCTTGTCAAAAACACCAAAAGCTTCGCGCATTTCTGAGTCTGCATCTGTATCTTTTATTTTGCGAGCCATGAGTGTAAGGAATTCTAAATGGCAAAATAAAAAAAAAAAAATAAATAATAATACAATGGGAAATCATTTGGGTGTAAGTTTGGGGTTTTTTTTTTTTTTTTTATTAATATTGGTTCTATATATAATGCTTCGACAATAGAAAAGAAAAAGGGAAGGGGAATTTTATTTTTTTTATTTTTTATTTTTTATTTTATTTAACCCTCACCAATTGAGGGTTTTAAAACATACCTGGGAAATCAATAATACCATTGCCGTCAACATCAATTTCGTTAATCATATCAACAATTTCTGTTTCACTGGGGTTTTGACCCAGTCCACGCATAACTTGCGCAAGTTGGTCTTTTGTGATTGTTTCTAGGGAAAAGAAAAAGAAAAGAAACAAAAAAAGAAGAAGATATTAGAAAGGGGAATCATCAAAATGAGATATATAATGTAATTTTATTTTGACATACTTTCTTGTGAAGCAAATAAATCAAAGGCTTCTTTAATAGCACTAACTTGATCGTCGGATAATTCTTCGCTGCTCTGTTATGGGTAAACCAATGTCAGTACTAATAAAATAGTAATAAGAGAACGGAAAGATGAAGAAGAAGAAGAAGAAGAAGAAGAAGAAGAAGAAGAAGAAGAAGAAGAAGAAGAAGAAGAAGAAGAAGAAATTTGATTGTTAAAGTGTTTATGAAGTTGACATAGTCATGATTGATATTTTTTTTTTTTTTTTTTTGGTTCCAAAAAAATTTTTAAAATAAAATAAAGCAGCTGAAGATGACTTTTTTTTTTATCATATGTATAAGAGCCCTCGGGTATCTTTAAGAAAGACCCGACCCGCCAACCTCAGGGTTATAGATCTAGGAGGTATAATAATTCTAGCTAGTCATTGTGAGCTTGTATAAAATCTCAAGACAATTTGGGGATAATAATGAATTTTGTTATCGTAGTAAGCTTATTAGTGTGTCAAGTGTGAAGTTTATATTTATTGCTTGTTGTTGTTGCTGTTGTTTTAAACTTTAGATTTGGGTCTCGAGGTATTCATAATAATCATAATCATAGATTGATGATTTCTTTCTTTGTTTCTCCTTTTAATTATTGAATAAAAAAAAAAAAAAATTAGGTCATCATTCAATTTCATAGAAGATAATTGATGATGTGCTTGTTGTTGATGTGATAATATTAACATACCATACTGATAAGGATATAAGTGTATTTGCTAATGTGGTTTGTTAGTGGTGGTAGTAATGTTTTTGTTTTTATAGGGAACAAAAAAAAAAAAAAATAAAAAAAAAAAAAAAAAAAAAAAAAAAAAAGAGAGAGAGAGAGAGAGAGAGAGAGAAAAAGGGAGGGGAAAAAAAAAAAAAAAATTCGAAAGTGGCTGTGAGATTTTTTTATTTTTTTATTTTTTTATTTTTTTATTTTTTTATTTTTTTATTTTTTTATTTTTTCTTTTATATAAATATAGAAACACATGTACACACACAGACGTCAGTGAAACTAACCAGTTAATTATTTTTTGGTTGTTTGGTTGTTTGTTTGTTTGTTTGTCTGTTTGTCTGTTTGTTGCACACACACACACACATGCAAATCTTTTGTTACAAATATATAAATTAATAATAATAAATTAAATAATAATAATAATAATAATAATAATAATAATAATAATAATAATAATAATAATAATAATAATAATAATAATAATAAACCCTTACTTACAATCCCTTTAAACAAAAAAATAAAAATTGGAATTTGCTTGCTTGTCATATATATATAAATAATTCTAATAATGCACGGCTGGTCACGTGTACATGCTGACTTTTTTTTTTTTTTTTTTACTAACAAACCACATATAAATCCCAACAATCTCTCAAATATCCACAAATACCAAATAATCATCATCATCATCATTATCATCATCACAAACAACCTTTTATAACAATTACATAAATATTCCACAATGGAACTAAGTCCAGTAGGTGTATTCTTTGTTATTGTATACCTATCAATTCCATTTGTATTATACATCTTTCAACGCTTAGCAGAACCTTCCGATGACCTCCTTCACCGCCGTAAACGTACAATTGTACTTGTTCTAGGAGACCTTGCTCGGTCTCCACGCATGCTCAACCACGCACGCAGTTTGGCCCAAGGAGGCCTTGACGTTGATCTTTGTGGTTACGATGGTATGTATATATATATATATATATTATTTTTTTTTCAAAAACAATCTATTTTTTTTTATCTAACACTCTCTAGAGGGAAATAAAATTCTCCCTGAAATCGCCAATTCCCCCCGCATTGCGATTCACCGTATCCCTGCAATTATAAACTCTGCAAACCTTCCATTCGTCCTTTTTGCTATAAAAAAAGTTTTATTGCAACACATCCTTCTTCTAAAACTCTTGTGGAGTCTTCGTGGTGCTGATTTCCTACTAGTCCAAAACCCTCCCTCCATCCCTACCCTTGGCATAGCTCGCTTTTTCGTTGTCTTCCTTTCTAGACCTACAAAGCTTATCATTGATTGGCACAATCTAGGTTACTCCATTCTGGCTCTCAAATTCTCTAAACCTAAAGATTCTTTTGACGATGCTGCAGTTTCTAAACACCCCCTTGTCTGGCTCTACCGCTGGTACGAAAAATTCTTTGGCTATCACGCATACTGTCATTTCACTGTATCCATCCACATGGGTGAGGTTCTTCGAAATCGTTTTAAAATGAAAGCAAAACGTATTCTGCCTCTTTATGACCGCCCTGCACTTCAATTCCATCCTTTGTCCTTTGAAGAAAAAAAGGCCGTTTTTGCAAACCATTCAAAAGATATTTTCGACGGCATGGGCCCTTCTACTCAAGAAAAAATCATCATCACTTCCACATCATATACCCCAGATGAAGACATTTATATGCTATTAGAAGCCCTCAAACTGTATGATACCCGTAAATCAGAACTCGACTCGGCTGTTATTCCCAACGGCGGGTCTTCTGTGCCTAAACCTAAAAAGAAAACACTCCCAAGACTGCGTGTCATCATCACAGGTAAAGGTCCTCTCAAAAGTGAGATTGAAGAGTACGTTGAAAATAAACTGAAACTTTCAAGTATATCTATCCACATGCCTTGGCTTGCTGCAGAAGACTACCCACTTGTGCTGGGCACCGCTGATGTAGGTGTTTCTCTTCATTTATCATCCTCCGGTGTTGATTTGCCCATGAAGGCCGTCGATATGTTTGGCGTGGGCGTCCCCGTAATTTCTGTCACATACCCTGCACTAAGTGAACTTGTACGGGACAAAGTCAATGGACTACACGTCAAAACTGCTCAGGATATCACAGACAGCTTTGAAAAACTATTTGTGGACGATGAACTATACGATACCGTAAAGGCTGGAGCTATGCGCGAAACTCGTATCAAGTGGGATCACGAATGGAACAAAAAGGTGGGCCCGTTGTTTGGAATTGGTGAGTACCGCCAGCGAAATGATGATGAAGTTAGTGAATCCTCGAGCTCGTCATCTAGTGGGTTTTAAATAGAAAAAAAAAAAAGTCTACAGCTGTACAGTAATAAATAAATAAATGAAGAAAAAAAAAACCCCCATCACTTGTACTTTCGTTTAAACCGGGCTTGGTAAACCTCTACAAGATGATCTAGGTGCTCCCCTGCATTCTCATCATTCATCTCAGATATACTCTCTCCAGCCCAAAACTCATACGCATCGTCACAATAAGCGTCCATCATGGCATGTTCTGGAATATCTACCCAGTTGTCCTGGTCACGCCGACCCAGCAATGCTGCCGTTGCTGCTGTTAATGCGCGTGCTGTGTCTGCGTGGTGGTACCCGCCACCACCCAGCACAACTGTTGGAAGATTCCAAGCATCCCGCACATGCTCACGCATAGCACGCTCGTAGTCGCGTGGAGAAAGCCGCCACTCACGGTGTTCGTCTCGCGATAATCCATCTGTGCCCAGTACCACAACGGCACAATCTGCGCAAAATACTTTGGTTACAAAGGGAGTTACAATCTCGCGCATAATCCGGTCCAATGACTCGCCAGTCAGCCCGCGCTTTGTCGGAATATTAAGAGTGTATCCGTATCCAGGTAGTTTGCCAAAATACTTGGCTTCATTGTTGCTATCAATACCAGAACTGTTCATGTACTTTGTATTCCCACCACCTTCATATTCAAGCGATCCAAACGGAGATCCAGGGTAAAACCCACGGTCGTACCTGTGAACTGAAACAACAGCAACGTTAGACGATCGTGCAAACGCAGTTTCTACACCGTCACCATGGTGCAAGTCCAGATCAATGTATGCAACTCGCGAAAACTTTTTACGCAACCGCTGGATGCACAGAACTGCATCATTCACATAACAAAACCCAGCCGCCCGAGTTTTCCTTGCATGATGTCTCCCTCCCTGCCAATTGATGGCAATAGGCGCTTGCTGTGGAATATCACTTTCATCTGTGGATGGACTCTTTTTTTCATGCTCTAAAATGTACTCGGCACACGCAACCGAAGCCCCAGCCACGAGCCGCACGTAGTCCGAAATCCCTGGGAAATAAGGACAATCATATTCTAGTCCATATGCCTCGTACTTGCGATAAAGCTTGGTTTTTCTCTTTCGTGCTTTGGAATCTTGAGATGAGTTTGGTTTAATCATAATTTGTGGAGTCTTGTGTCGGACATCTTCCCTTAATCGTTTCCTTGGAGGTTTGTTACTGTCTTCTTCATCTTCCTCAGAAGATGATTCAAGCTCAGCATCATTATCTGCGTCGCTGGATTGTACAGAATCTAATTCCAAAATAAAGTCAACAAATCCAGCATCGTGGTATGTTTTGAGCTGTGCGGCACCAAGAGGCTTAACTGGAATGACTTTGCACTGTGGCTCTTGATCATCCTTGTTGGGCTCTTGGTTCTGAGAAAATAGCTTGTATGCATGGAGCAACGTGTGCACAAGAATAGCCCGTCCTGGATTTGACGGAAGCTTGTTGGCAGCCATTAAGAGTGACCGGCTACATGCGTATCCAATAGGACCCTGTTTTCTTTCGGGTATTGTCATGATATTTTTTTTTTATTCTTGAAGTTTAACGAAAAATCCTTAAATATTAAGAAAAATACTTACAGTAGTATCTAAGATAGAGTTCTTTATTTTTCTTGTATTTATTTTATTATATTGTATACAAATTTCCCATTACAGATAAAACCCTAGCCTTGAAAATTGTTATTACCAGGCACACCAACGGAAACCAACGGCTGAGTACCGAGACAAAATCAAGGCAATAGTGGTTCCAACGTAAAGAGACCCGGTAAATACTATAAGTCCTGTATAATCGGCTCCCTTGATAAGAGCACCAGAAAGTGGAACACCAAGAAGCACGCCAAAGGATGTGAAGACATACATAGTCCCGTAGCGCTTGCCGTAATCTTGGGTACGGCAGATTTGACCACAGCAGACAGGTGCGAGTGAAAGAATACCGCCATTGCAGAAACCGTGGAGCATAGCAAAAACAATAAGTCCAGCAGTGCTGTGGCCAAATGGAAGCCAGATGGCAAAAATGGTAATAAAGGCCATAGTGGTTGTGACAATAAGAGTATTGAATCTACCCAAGTAGTCAGCAATCACACCTGGGACCCAGCGGCCCACCATGCCCAGAGAGTTGAGAATGGTCAGCAGCAAATATGACATGGTCTCGGACTTCCCTTGAGCTAAAGCATATGAAGTCAAGAAAGTAATTCCGTTGACGACAGCCAGCTCACCGAGAAAGTTTGCGAGAGTAAGCCATGTGAAGCGCATATCCCGAAGGGAATTAAAATCAGCAACATTTTTCCACGAGAATTCAAACTTTGAAGTATCACGCTCCAAGCGAGGTTTCATAAGAAGAAGAGAAATAATAAGAGCACCAAGGCAAACAAAGCCAAGGACTCTAATGGCCCAGGCATAGCCTACAGTAGCATAGAGCTGGCGCAACATTATGGGGAAAACAACACCGCCGAGACTACCACCAATGGTGGCCGTTCCAATTGCAGTTCCGCGCTTAACATTGAACCAGTGGCCAACAATAGCGACTTGTGGGGTCATAAGAAGAGCACAGCCAATACCACAGCAAAGGGCAAAGGCCAAAAAAAACTGATAGTAAGCTGTACACAAACTGGTCATCATGAGACCAAGAGTGAAGATGAAAGATCCGGCAATGCCGAGATGATAAGGTCCATATGCATCAAAGAAAGGTCCAACTTGACCGGAAAGAATATAACAGAGGAAAACGAAAACAGAGAAAATCCAGGAAACTTGAGACTCAGACTTGCCAGCAAGCTGATGCACAGAAATGTAAGCTTGGACAGCACCCATGGAGTTGATTAGACCGAGAACTGTGAACATGCCAAAAAAGGAGCCCAGAACAACTCGCCAAGCTGATAGGCCACCTTCCGGGTATTCCAAGTCGTCATTGTTTGAAGACTCAGAAGAAGAGAGAGATGAAGATTCTGCAGTGTTAGAAGAGGTTGGAGTGACAGCAACAGTAGTTCCGCGGAATTGGACACCTGAAGGGCCCTCTAGATCCGCGGAGGAAACAGATACCCGAGGGGCCTTTGATTCGACTGTAGAAAGCTCTACGGATGATGTTCCCGCTAAGTCATTGCTAGAAGATGCCAAGTTGCGCTCTTGTAGAACAGTCGTTATAGACATAATTTTTTTTATTTATAAATATATAGAAAGAAAAAAAAAATATACAAACGAAGGTACTATTTAAGAAATTAAAAAAAAAAAAAAAGGCGGGGAACAGAAGCCGTTTATATACCGTTTCTTATCAGTATCAGTGACTCATGAAATTGTTATTGGAGTTAACCGCCCAAAAAATGTGCCATGGAAATAAAGCCTGATGTCTAATTTGATAAATGGATATCCGCCGAAAAGCGAAAAGAGAAAAAAAAAAAATTTTTTTTTTTTTTAAGTGCAGGTTTTTATTTCTTTTTTCCATAATTATAATAAATCACAGCATTGCCAGCCGTTGAAAAAAAACTTTGTTGCTTACCATTTACATAGACGAAAACCAACGGCGTAGTAGCGAGACATCAAAAGCGCCAAGGTGGTGCCAACATACAGAGAGCCGTTAAAAATAACCAAGTTATTGTAGTTAGTACCGTGAATCAGTGCACCGGACAATGGAATACCAAGCAAACATGCAAACGATGTGATGAAAAACATGGTACCGTAGCGTTTGCCGTAGTCGCGAGTCTTACAAATCTGGCCACAGCACACGGGGGACAGAGACAAGATGGCACCATTACAAAACCCGTGGAGTACACAGAAGATGACCAGGCCTGCAGTAGTATGACCAAATGGTAGCCAGATGATAAAGATGGTAAGAAACGCCATGATGGTAGTTAGAATAAGCGTATTAAACCGGCCGAGCCAGCGGTCAGCAATAAGTCCTGGCAGCCAGCGACCAGGCATTCCAACGGCATTAAGAATGGCAAGAAGTGCATAAGACATTCCAGGAGACTTGCCCTGTGCTAAAGCATACGATGTGATAAAAGTTAAGCCATTTACAACACCAAGCTCGCCCAAAAAGTTGCCAGCTACAAGCCATGCGTATCGCATGTCGCGCAGAGAACGTACGTCGGCCATATTTTTGACCGAGAAAATGGAGGCCATTTTGGATTTCCCAGATGCTGTAGCCGGGGTCACTGATTCGAGTCTGGGTTTCATCAGGAAAAGCGATAGAAGCAAGGTTCCTAAGTTAATAAACCCCAGTGCACGTAAGGCCCAAGCATAGCCTGCAGTGGAATACATTTGGCGCAACATTACAGGGAATATGACACCTCCTAGACTTCCACCCACAGTTGCAGCTCCAATAGCAGTTCCACGACGTTTTTTAAACCAGTGGCCGATAATAGCTATTTCTGGAGTCATGAGTAGCGCGCAACCGAGTCCTGCACAGAGCGAGAATGCCAGGAAAAACTGGTAATACTCGGTTGCAAGAGAAGTCATCATAATTCCAAGTGTATAAAAACATGTTCCGGCAATAACAAGTTGGTATGGACCATAAGCATCAAACAATGGGCCGACCTGACCAGCGAGTAAGTAACAAAGAAACAAGAAAACTGAGAAAATCCACGATACTTGGGAATCAGAACGCTGCGACAACTGATTAACATTGACATAAGCCTGTATGGCACCTAATGAATTGATGAGACCAAACACTGAAAATAACCCGAAAAAGGATCCAAGCACAACCCGCCAGGCCATAAGTCCGCCCTCGGGGTACTCCGTGTAGTCATCATCGTCATCTTCGTTGTCGTTGTCGTTGTCGTTATTGTTATTGTTATTGTTATTATTATTAGTAGTATTAGAGCCAAGTTGTCTGTCCTCATCAGATTCTTGAGTTTCGCTTTCTTCATGAATTTCTTCAAAAACATTGGATGTCTCTGGGATCGGGGTGTCAAACTCAACTGCTGTAGACTTGACCCGCATCTCAACCGTAGAGTCATCGATAACTGTCATTTTTTCAAACCCAGAGGTGCCTGCAACACTGGCCCTCCGGTGTTGAACTCCATCAATACCATGGGATTCTGAAGGTTCAAAAGACATTGAAAATAAAGGATAAACGTCTCAATCAATAATCTTATATTTTCTTTGTAAAAAAAAAAAATAAAAAATGGGACTTTAAAAAAATGGAGATGAAAAAAATTTAAAAGCGAGCCAACTACTTTTTATTGTTTAAAAATGTCGCTCGCTCGCTCGCTCCGCATAACCCTATGGCGTTTTCAAACGGTCATCGTCCAAGTACAATAAAGGAAACTCATTCCTGGTGAAAAACATCTTTAAAAAAAAAAATTAAATTAAACATTAAAACTTGATTATATATAATTATTAAAAATGCAAATCTAACAGTCATTCAAAGTCTCCAAATAATATGTAGGGAAAAGATGAGTTTGCGTATAGCTATTAATGAGGGGTTTGGAGATGATTAAGGGTAGGGGGGTCATAAAAGCGTTTCTCTGAAGGAGTTTTTAGTGTTGCTCGTTTCGTCATCAAATGTCATAAAACAATCTGTTTAAAACAGATTTTGTCATTTTGTTTGTAAAATATTTAGTCGCGGTGAGAAGGGGAAGCAATTCTGTTAAAGAAAACAGACTTCTTTCCATCATCAACAGGACTAGTAGACATGGGTCGAGAAAGGCCAGCAGTGGCAGACCATAAGGAGCTCGTGGAAGGAGCCAGAGCAGGGGAAGAGGGATTGGTCGCCGGAGTAGAGGCCAAAGCATTAGAATTGGTAGAGCTCGACACCATGCTATTAGAGCCGGAGGAAGCTGTAGAAGCTGTTGTTGATGGAACACCAGCACTGGAAGACGCAGAGGTGGGATAAATAGTACTTTCACTATGCAAATTGTAACTGCTAGAACGGTTGTGAGAGAATTGCAAATTCTTAGAGGCCAAGACGGAAGCAGCCGATTGGTTTTCCAAGTCAGTCAAAATAGGAGGAAGAGTAGCAGCCATTCTACTGCCAGCTCGCGAGGGAGAACTCGTCGAGACAGCTTCAGTGGAATACTTGGGTTCACCCAAGTTGGTATTGTACAATGGCAGCTCATACTCCAAATCAATAGACTTGCGATACTTGACGGGTTGCTCATCACCAGTCTCAATGAAATCATAAGACCATCTGCAGAGCTTGTCGTATTGCATGCGGGGGAGAGTTGTACGCTTAACACCATAAAAGACGACAAAAGAAAGCACAGCACCGCCAATCAAGTCGACAAAGTAGTGGTGGGTCAGGTACATGGTACTCCACCAAATCCAAAGAACATAGCACGAAATCAAGGGAGTAAATCTAGGAAACAAATATGAAATGAAAAGGGCCTCCATAACTGCGGATCCAGAGTGGAGCGAAGGGAAAGCTCCAAAGACTTGGGGTGATGCGGTAAAAGAACCAGTGTACATGTTGAGGCCGAGAATCTGGTCTACACGAGCAAGACCACCTGGAGAGCCGGGCATGGAGTAATTGGCAGGCTGGAGACCATAGAGGTTTTGATACCATGGAGGGGCGGTAGGGAAAAGAATTTGAATAGTGAGGCCAATAAGGTTCATCCAGCCAAATGCAAAGCCAAAGCAGGGAAGAGTTTTAGGCGGGGCAAAGACAAAAATGACGCCAGCCAAAACAAAGGGGGCACCAAAGTGGATAAGGCCATAAGGGATCCAAGCCAAAATGTCGAGAATGGCGTGTGTGCGTGAAGACAACACATTACTGAGGTTGCCACCGTACAAAATGGTTTCGAGAGCAGGCAAGACACGGACATAAATGCGAGGGCGCCAGTCGTGGGGGATAAACTGACATGAGAAGAAGAGAATAAGCCAGCAAATGATGGGGAGTGCTGGGAGAAAGAACTGGGAGGTGATGGGGATGGTGAGAGCCAAAAAGATGAGAACGGCCATAAAGATGCGGCCCAAAAGGGGAGGGTTTTTAATGATGGAGAAGCAAAAGACCAGTACTAGGATCTCAATGATGAAATAAATGTCGCTCCTTTTCCAAGTGTGGTTGCGGACCCTACGTAAAGTCTTTCGAATGTCCCATGAAGTTTCTAGTTTACAGAGCTGATTTGAGTGAAGAAACTCTTCCTTAATGCGAGATATAAGCTTTATCATGTTTGATGAAGAATTTGGTTTTTTTTTTAAAAATAAAGAAAAAAAGGAGAGGAAGAAAGGAATCTGGTGATATATATATATAAATTTATATATATTTTGAGAGTTTCAGATTAATGCGATCTCGTGGTGACACCTTGAGTATAATGCGGATACAAGTTCAAACACAGATGATACAATTTTTTTTCACAAACAAAAGATTAAAGAAAGAAAAAAAAAAAAAAAGAGGGGGAAGGAGGATATCAAGAGAGCGAGTTTTGCAAGTTTGCTGGATAAAATGGTAACGCAGCTCTTGAGAAAAAAAAAATAAAAGGTTGTCGTAATATGGCCTCGAGTATCTTTTAGACGATGAAGAAGAAGAGAAAGAAAAAAAAAAAGGGGGGGTTTTGAAGAAAGAAAAGAAAAAAAGAAAGAGCAATGGGTATTTACAAAATAATAAGAATATCCAATACCCAGTACTGTATTTAGTGATATGGGAGGAGGTTGAGTTTCTTAAAGAGTAAAGGGGTATTTTGTGGGTATGATGATGATGATGATGATGATGATGATGATGATGACGAAGTTAGCAAAGGATTTTAAAAAAAAAAAAAAAAATAAAAAGTAGGGAAAGCGCAGGGTTTTTATATCTCGTACCAAATAATGAGCCGGTATGTGTTGTGCGCAGGCATTTTTTAAAAAAAAAAAAAAAAAAAAAAAAAACCTCAAAAATTAAAAAAAAAAAAAAATTAAAAATTAAAAATTAAAAAATTAACAAGCTCTGCAAAAACAAAGCGTTGCCCACGACTTCGGTTAAAGACCTGTACACAGTAGTTGGCGGAATTAGCTTGTCTCCCGAGGTAGGGTAATTTACCTCAGTTTAAAGAATAAATATGCTTATTAAACCAGACCTGTTAGTTTGTGTCTGCCTGTCTGTCTACCTGTCTGTCTGTCTGACTGTTTGCCTGCCTGTCTTGACAGCCTTGACTGCTGACTTCTTCGTCCCCCTCGGGAAATTAGGCACACCCGCCAAGGCCGAAATTAATATCGACTACCACCATTACCTACTACAACTACAACTACAACGACTACCACTACTACTAATACTACCGGCTTTGCATAAATCTCGGGTAGACAAAAACTACGGAACTTGTCGGTCCATGGAAAATCAAAAAGCCGTTGAGAAAAAAAAAATGAAAAAAAAAAAAAAAAAAAGAAATCTAAATAAATATTTCTATTTCATTCCATGAATAAATCATAAAAAAATTTCTTTTCCATCATCAAAATACTAGCAAAGTTGTTGTTGAAGCAGTTGTCCTGCCAACGTTTATAGAGAAAAGTGTACATCAGGCAAGACCTACGTGCGGCTGCAGCGTAAATCTGGGACTTAAAAGACAGGTGCCCTACTGTGATTAATAAAATTTGTGCCGTTTTAGGCTATGGTAAAACCATTTTGGGAAATTTGGATGGATCGATTCCCTCTTTTTGAACGTTTTGATTAGAAAAAAATGATTGGATTTAAGTAAAAAAAAAAGAAAAAAAAAAAAAAAAAAAAGAAGATGGAAACTCAGGGATGGAAACAACCAATTCTGGCAATAAACAAAACAAAACAAAAATTATAATTATCGAATGAAAGAAAGAAAGAAAGAAAAGTTTTCTGAGTTGGAATCAGTCCAAGCATTGATCTGATCTGACATCATCAATAATAGATAGTCTGGATAGTTTATGTGTACACTTAAAAAATATTCACTTCTAAGCCCATTTTTTGAATCATATAGAGGCTCATATATTCAGCCTCTTCCCCCTTTTTTATTTTTTTTTTCTCCGCGTGGATCCCCGGTCTTTCTTTGTTGGTTTTTTGTTTTGTTTAATTGAAGCTCAGACACTATGACGCGTATATCATATCATATATATATATATATATATATATATATAAAAATAACAAAAAAAAAATTGAAAGAATAATGAAATGAAAACGGTATTGGGTCAGAACCATAGTTTACACTATTGGAATGATGAATGCAAATACTTGCTTTAGGAGGACTGGCTGTCAGTTGATTGATAATTATTTTACTTTGAGCAAACGTGTTTATTGTATGCGCGTATTAAATAAAATATTATGTAATAAAAAATATGTTGCTACAAAAAAAAAAAAAAAAAATTTACTAAAAAAAAAAAAAGTAAGAACCTTTGTGATTATCAAAAAAATATATATATATTTGAGCTTTTAGAAATAAGCACCCCTTCAATGCTAGTTTTCAATCTAGAAAATATGCTGCTGGTAAGATCTTTTTAAATGCTGTTTTTTTAAAAAAAAAAAAAAAACCACCCTAATGTCACAAATAAAAAAAATAAAAGAAAATTTCTCGAGAGAATAAAAAAAAAATTTTTTTTAAAGGCCGCACTCCGGAAGGAATAATTTTTTTTTTTTTAATTTTACAAGCCTTGCAAAATGAATTCTTGGCAAACGCCAAGAAATAACAAGAATAAAAATAAAAAATAAAAGTAATTACATTATGTAATTGAAATTGTGTAACATGCTTAATTTTTTGTAACAAACTCGTTTGTGTAAAATGTTTTAGAGTTCTGGGGTAAATTTGAGAACAGGTGCTACAACCTCCCCATAAATAATACTAAAATACAGGTAATTGAGAAAAAATATATATATAATATCCTTATTTCCTTATTTAAACTATTAAACTACAATGGCATGAATTTGATAATTACAAAAAAAGCGGGGATATATTGTGAAATTTATTTTTCATCATCTTTAACAAACTTTCTTATAAATATATATATATATATATATTTGTTTTTTCTATCTCTCTTATGATATCCCGTCTGTAGAGCCGTGCAATTCTGACTTTGTCTTATATAACACTCCACTTATAAGTGATAATCATTGGAATTTGCAAACTCAAAGTTTGTCAATGATTATCTTCATTTTTAACTTTCTGAAACGGTATCAACTAAATCTAAAGTTTCCACAATAAACTCACATTCATGTTTTTAATATAAAAACGCAAACAAAAAAAAACTCCAACCTGGTGATGTCTTTCATTTCATTAGGTTTTCTTTTTATTTCTTTTTTTGACTAACTCGTTTTAAGTTAGTTTGAAATAATATCAACAGTAAATAGAACTACCAAATATTTAATAAAGTTTAGATATATTGGTGACCAAGTTTCATTTTTTCCTTTTAACCTTCTGCAGAATATCTTTTACTCTTATTTCAATAAGATGAAAACCAACTATGGTTTACAATTGCAATTTTCATCAAAGTCTTTTTTTTTTTGAGAAATATCACTAAATTTTTAAAATCCTATGCAATAATCATCACCTGTTGACACCTGTTGACACCTGTTGACACCTGTTGACACCTGTTGATATCTATTAAATTTCTGAACTCATATTATATCCCTTAAATGTAGTCTATATATATATCCATTCACTTCAGAGATATTCTTTCATTTTTTTTTTTTAAAAAAAAAAAAGTACTAAAATTTCTTTAACACTTTAATCAAACTTATATAGGTTCTCTAGAAGTGCAGTTTAAGGGAATTAGAATTGGGTATTATGAATAAATATTCAAGCCATTGACCGGTTTAAATAGGTGCATAAAGGTAATTGTTTTTAAATCCAAACATTTCTTTCCTTTCCATCTTAGACTCTCTTAAATGACCTTGCAGTGAATATCGCCTTTTTTTTTTGGTTTTTTTTTAACCAGCTGATGCCTCCTATGCCCTTATGGTCATCACCTTAGCTTAATATTGCAATACAATGTTTAAAATTATTCGTTAAGTATTTGAACCGTAACAGAACAACAAAGCTTGATATCATTTTTTTTTCGCCCATTAAGTTGGTTTTGAGTCATCCTCCCCTATTATTGAATAAATTTTGGTATTTAAAATAAATTAGAAATTTAGTTTTTTAAAAAAGTAATCCAGTTTCTTAGTCTTTAATAATATTAGGTATCATTTTCTTAAAAAGCAATAACTATTAAAAGGGGTCAATTCAGACGTTGCATTAATAGTCTTGGTGGTAATGCTAAAGTTCTTTTTTATTTTATTTTTTTTTTTTTTTTTGCCAAAGTCATGTTCCCAGTGTGAACTTCGGAAATATACACCTAAAAGTTCAAAATATGTTTCATGTGATTAGGCTTGTAACAAAAAAAGAAAAAAAAATACACTGGTTCTTTGGCCGCGTAAGCTTTAGTTTAACTCATCCATTGCTTAGTAAGCTTTAAAAAATTAGAATTTGAATTTTTAAAAGCTTTACATCCGAAGCTCCTAGTGGACTATTGAAAAGGACAAAAAAAAACCCCTTGGCCATACAAAAATTAGTTAAAAACTTCTTGTATTCTTACCAGTTAAAACTTCTGGGCAGTCTTAAGGTATATTTTTCTACCATCATTTCAAAAAAAAAAAAAAAAAAAAAAAAAAAAATTTCCCTCAAATATTATTACTGGTGCTTCTAATAATTTTATTATGCAACTGAATAGTCCAGAATTTTGGGAAACTATTAGCTTTTGATTCTTGGGGAAAGTCTTTGTTTAAAAAACGAGAAAACAATATGCTTGTTTGGTTTGCCCAATTGCTTCATTAACAAAAAAAAAATGTTACACAAAATCTTATAAGTGTTCAAATGGTTTCTCTATTGCATTGGATTAAATATATATATATATCACCTTCGATGCGGTGCGTCTTCACCTCTTTATTCTTCTTCCTTCCCACCCCCTTGTTTTTTTTTATCATTATTTCTCTTGTTTAATTTAATATACATTATCATCTTTTTAAATAATCCATTCTTTTCTTCAATTTTTTTTCTTAAAACTACATACAAATCATTCTAATGAGTTTTAGCTTTATCGGCTAAAAGGCAAAATAAACTTTTTTTCCCCCAATATCTTGCTTTTGGTTTAAAATCTAGTCATTACCTCTAAACCCTTCTAATTTAAATAATATATTTACTCTTAGGTTTGTGTATCATTCATATACATTTACCTTGTTTTTTTTTTTTTTTTTTGGC